ATTCTGCCTGTCAACATCTGGTCGTGCATGTGGAAATAGTAAGTGGAATTATAATTAAATGCTTTGACTTGTTTAGTGTTAGTAAGTATATCGACTCTATACATATCTGATATGATACATTATTCATATGAGAAAGAAAAAAAATATCGACTGCTTGTTTTCATGTTTTGCAATTACTGTTAAATAACTATTTTGTTCTGAAGAGCAACACATTAAACATGTTAAAAAGAGTTAAATATCCCACATTATACTATTTATTTACGTTTATTTGGAATCTGGTTTGATCTGTTGTAACTGTTGTTGTTTCAGCCCTTTTAAGTGCAGGTTACTTTAAACTTTAAGAGTTCTAATCTCTAATCAAATCAGATTATGATTATAAGTCAGCGAACCACACTTTGAAGTTCAGTATTAATAGTTAAGTATTATTGTTTCATAAACTGATTTAATTGTATTTGAACGACAAAAACACATACAACTTGGACTACTCAACTCGTAACTACAAATGCATTTGATTGACATGAGTAAAAATTGGAAGGTATTGGTATTGATCATTATATTATATATAAGCATATTCATAATCAAAATCATAGCAAAATCATCATAAAAATGATTGATAATGTTGAAAATATCTAGCTGATTGATAATGTTGAAAATATCTAGCTGCTAGGAAATTCGTCTCAAATGTAATAAGAGAAAAAATATATCCCTATGCGGCTCTACTTCTAACGGCGTCATAAAATGGCGGCCATAATAATGATAATATGATGCCGTTCGAAAGAGAGCCAAATTGGCCACATTCTGGCCATAAAATATCCAAAAATATCCGAATGGGGCTCACTTCTATTAAAAATATGCCGGCTCCGTATAACGAAACAAATGCTCTAACAGGGTCTCGGCGATATGTTACTTGCGGACCTGCTTCTGCGAGTGTGCCTCACCACTGGCCGTATCCCCCCGCTACTAGATGGCTGGGACTCACGCGCGGCAGCCACAGCATCTCCTGCAACTTCCTCCAATTACTGTACTCGTGAGTCCCAGGCACCTAGTTTAGACCCCCATCCGCGGCTCGGGGGATACGCTCGGCGATGAGTTTAATCGCGTTTGGTGCATGCCAACAAGTCTGACATCTACCGCTGCTAAATCCTCCAATTGGAAGAACACAGTATTGCTAATCGGCTTTCATCGTCTGTAATGTCTCGAAATTGTCAACGGCTTCTAATATCGTCTGCAGAAACGCTTGAAATTGTCAACGGTCAGTATTTATTGTCTGCTACTACCGTGTGCAATGTTGACATTGATTGTCAAGTAATCTAAGTTTTGCCACAATTTGTCCCTTGACAGAAAGTCCGTATTTTAGATATGCCTGAACACCGTTCGGATATTTTTGGATATTTGATGGCCAGAATGTGGCATCATATTTTGCCCCCATTTTATGGTGCTGTTCGAAGTAGAGCCCCTAATGCTTTGACTAAAAAATACTCTGAGGTTACATAGCCTGTTGAGTTTCCTGTCTTTACAATGACAGTCTATACAGGTGCTTGGTAATGAGTCTAGTAATGAGTAACCTCTACAGCCTGGTCATCTTATAGTACTGATAGTGATACTGGTACTTCAATGCCAGCTAAGAGTCTTTTCTCTCTTTGTTTCACTTTGCCTCTATTCTCTTTTCCATGATCATAATCACTGTAACCTCCATTTCTCTTCTTATGACACGCCCACATATGTGCATTCTCTTCTGATGTGAAACATCGGCTAACCTCCGAATAACGGGCACATATTATGGCGACCAAAAACACACCCTGACACGGCCTCAGTCACATGTAAATTGCGGACTTCCTGCGACTTGAATTGCGGACTTCAGTGACTACCGTCACCGCCGAGAGTATCTTCCACGCCACGCGTAGCGGGGCTAAACAAGATGCCTGGGACTCAAGAGCAGCAGCTACCACATCTTCTGTAGCTTTCTTCATATTTTTTGCTGGTGAGTCCCAGCCATCTAGTTTTGTCATGCTGCGCGTAGCGGCATGGGAGATAACTCTCGGTGGTAGTCGCCGGAAGTCCGCAATTTACATGTGGCTGAGGCCCTGTCAGGATGTGTTTTTGGCCACCATAATATGTGCCCGTTATTCAGAGGATAGCCGAAACATCTGTTATAATACACTTTAAGGCTATCTTCCGAATAACGATCCCAAATTATCGAGGCAGAAAATATACCCTAACAGGGCCTCAGTCACGTGTCAATTGCGACTATACCGCCGCCGCAGAATTGCAACCCTCCGGCGACTTCCGCCACCGCCGTGGGTATGCCCCACGCTGCGTGTCAACCAAACCGCTCACGCAGTGTGGATTTAGACTAAACTAGATGGCTAGGACTCACGAGCAAATAAATTAAAGACAGCTGCAGGAAATGCGGTAGCTGCTGCTTGTGAGCCCCAGTCTAGTTTTATCCCAATACACGCAGCGTGGGGCACACTCTTGGTGGTGCCAGAAGTGCGCAATTTAAGTAGCAGGAAGTGCTCAATTGACACGTGACTGATGCCCTGTTAGGGTATATTATTTGCCTCGATAATTTGGGACCTTTATTCGGAAGATAGCCCACTTTCATAATAATTGGATTGTAGATGGGGACTTTCCATTATATCTAGCAGTATCGATGAGGGCCGTTTATTTGCAAACATTCTTTTAGCCAGAAATTATTTTGAATAACCTCTTAATGAATCATACATTTCTCAACAGTGGATGCCAATAACACTGAGAAATTTCCTGTAATATAAAAGTTAATGGTATATTTAATGCCTCAAATTTGTTAATTATTACTGTGCATGAACCCAGCACAAACTTATGTAATTTCCTAAGAGGCGTTTATGCACCTGTTCACGAAAGATTGTATTTGTGTGTCCATTGTTAGTGCCAGAGGTGTCTGGGAAGTAAACAAATAAAGTGATGATGCTAGAAACATTGACATTGTTTGCCTGCCATTCAGTCACAATGTTGAACTAACAATCATACTTTCAGTGTATTTGTATGACTGTAAATAGTAATTTGCCTCCACCACATGATTTAATAAATCCCCTCAATTATTTAGAAACTGTTCAGCCACACAGAACAGCAATGTTTAAACTGTATTATGAAGTCCAGTCCTTGTGAAAAAGGCTCATGTCATCTTTGACCTCACACTCTATATCTGTCTGTCTGTCTATCTCTGCTTTTTACAAAATAGTTGGACAAAATACATTTATAATGGATGTGAATCACAGCAAACCATTTATGAATATAGAATCAGCTTGTTAGTATAGTATATGTAGAAATAACCCTTTTCCCATGCCTTTGAGCATATAGGGCTAGGCCTGTATTTTATAGACCAATCAACATTTGGTGGGTGATGTGGTCAGCATTACGCCGGCCACCTTTGCTTCCCAGGACTGCACCTGATACCCACTCAAGGCTAGGTCGACCTGGTAGCCAATTCTCATTTTTTTAAATAAAACCTGGTAGCGTCAGAGCCTGAACCCATGACTTTCCAATCCACAGGCGAACATCCAGCTACTGCAATAAATAATCATAAGTTAGTCAAGTAAAAGTTTATTATTATATTATTTTTGCATTTCATGTTTTTTATTTCATATTTTGTGACACAGAATAGTCTTGCTTGATTGTTATTCAATTTTTTTTTAAACCAATCTGCTGACTACACACTACAATTAAGTCATCATCAAAACCTTTTCTGGTTCAGATGTCAATCTTCAGTTATAAAATAACTCAAATTTTGCTGTGTAAAACGTTTTAGGGTAGTATTTCAGAATCTCAAGCACATAATAAGGAAAAGCTTAGTTGTAGAATGGCATTTTTTTTATACCAGTATAAATGATTTGGTAGTCATGTAGCCAGATGGTTGTGAAATATATACTCAGAGATGGTAACAGGTGGCTGTGAGTACACTGGCTCAGTTAACTGGAGAACAGTGTGTTGCTGTATTTTTAATTGTATGGTCTGTTTTGAGAATTGCGGTTGTTATAGTTTGTCTTTTTGGTTATTTGTCATCGTTATTGTTCTCATATAAAAGTAGAAAACCATACTACTTTATTCTGACATAAGCCTGTGTATTCGCTTTATTTTTTAATTAAATCTAGTGACAAAGCCATCTAAAATCATAATACAAACTTTTAAATATGTTCTAGATCTGACTAAACTCTATACACAGTTGTGATCACTGAAAATGTGATCTTTATTGCCTCAGACAGAGTGTAATTTATCATATGGAGAGATTTCCTTTAGCTGTGTTCAGTAATATGCAGATTGCCGAAGAAAGAACTAAAACTGAACTCTAAAGTATTTTTAAAAAAAGGGAGGGGGGTCCATATACAAGCTGCTCAAGACTACAGAGGAGTGATTTCCTATGTCGGTCAGCATGGCACTTGATGCTGATGTGTGATATATATTTATATATATATATATATATATATATATATATATATATATATACACACACACATATATTTGTTGTTGAATATCGAGCACATGTAGTCTTTTCTGTTAAAGCACATAGTTATAAAGATCAGTTTTTTTTTTAATCAAACCACCACATATTTGAATAAGGACCCCTTAGTGATGATTTGTTTGCTGTACAACGTTAAGTTCCAAAAATGCATCCACTGTTATGTCTGGAGGCACACTAGAAACCAGGAAGCAAAGCTAAAATGAATGTAGAACACTTCCATTCCAGTAATTGTTGATCACTTATTTAAAAAAAAGTTATTCAGATGTTCTAACAATCTTAAAAAGAACGTGTCTTAATAGTTTATGATGTAATCATACATGCAGACGTATATACAAATGACTATACAAGCTTGTATTATGCCTGTAGATACATGCATAAGCTCTTCACAGGTGTGAGCGCACACACAGAAAATAAACAAAACAGAATATCTTCGGTAATTGCAGTTTTAACTTGTAGCACCCTTCTGTTTTGCAGATTTTGATCCCAGAAAAAACACAGGACAATGGGAAATATATTTGCTACATTATTTAGGGGCCTTTTTGGGCGGGCAGAGATGAGAATTTTAATGGTTGGTCTGGATGCAGCAGGAAAGACCACAATCTTGTACAAGTTGAAACTGGGTGAAATTGTGACAACTATTCCTACAATTGGTAAGTGAGAACTTCATTCATTACATGTCTGGATATTTCCATAGTAAATCCATGTGTTTGTATCTTTGAGACCATATACTCAGTAACGCCTTATATTTTCAGAGAATTATAGTTTGTTTATAAAGCATAAATTACTCTATGGCTGAGAGGCAGTTAATGTATCAGTAGAAAATGGCTTTATTCTCAGGTGTAGACATAGTTAGTTTTATCCATCTCTCATCTGTTATGTGCTGGCATACCATTTTCTAAATAGCTTTGCCTACTTCTTAGGGGTGGTAGATTCTTTGCTATGTTATTGATTTGTGATGTTCCTTTTATGGTGTACTAATGTATTAAAAATTTTTGTCCACAGTAATTTGAAATAGCTTTATTGTGATTGTCAAAGAATACCTGATGTAAAACTTCTGGAGCAAACTTTTGTTATATGCATTATTCAACCACATATTCCACCTGAGTAGAAGGGGAGAGTAGACTAACTGTCCTTTACAGACATATCATAAATGGAGGCTAGTTAGGAATTTGCTGAAAAAGGATATGTTGGTCAAGCAGTGCTGGCTGGGTAACAACTCCAAATCAGTAGCCATTCTAGTTGGCCTGACCTCTTTTATACAGATTGTTTCATCATCAACCATGGCCTCTGCTAGGGCATTTCCTTATTTGTTTTCCCAAGTAGTGTCCAGTGTCTCTGACCTGATCCCCTGATCACTCCCCACTTCACCATTCTCTTCAAATCTTGATGATCTGTTTGTGCCTTCGCGCTATCTCTCCCAAAGGGCCTTCACAACATTTGTATTATGTGGTGTAGTTTACGTGTTTGTGTGTATATAAATATAATGTATAAATTATTCATAACTACATTTATTTATTGTGCTATTCAAATTTTTTTTCCCCCACAGGTTTTAACGTTGAAACAGTTGAATACAAAAACATAAGCTTTACAGTCTGGGATGTTGGTGGCCAGGACAAGATTCGACCCTTGTGGAGGCATTACTTTCAGAATACCCAAGGTGTTTAAAAATTGTATTTTATAATGAATATGGAAAGAAATATCTATCCTAATTTGTATTCTCATGTTAACACTAAGGATAAGCATGGTTTTAAAAAATAAGTCCCTATGTGGGTTTCAGGGTCCCATTTTGTAAAGTTCTTGAACAAGACCAAAGTGAACAAACAGTCAGACTTTACAGCCACTGAATGCCAAGAGAAGTAAAAGAACATATCAAGAGTTTGAATTCTACAGCTGGCAGTGTGACTTTTCAATACATTTGCTAAAGAAAGTAGTTAATCCTCAGTGAAAGACCTTTTTTCCCCCAAAGTTGTTTGATGCTTTAGTAATTATGATATACAATAAGATGAGCTAATTATATCTGCAAAAATATCATTTGTAGACTGTAAAGCAAATGCCTATGCATAGTGATGTAATTAGTATGCACTGCAGTATGTTAAATTGATTTTAATCAAATAGCTAGATAAAAGCATTTGCCCTTATCTCTTTGCAGGTTTAATTTTCGTCGTAGACAGTAACGACAGAGAAAGAGCCGGTGAGGCAAGAGATGAACTGGGTAGAATGTTGAATGAAGATGAGCTCAGGGAGGCCGTTCTTCTGGTATTTGCCAACAAGCAGGTGTGTATAATAATTGTAAATTAAAAACTTTTTTCTGTCTAGATAAACTTCGTTTGCGCTGTCTTTTCATCTATCCTTCATACCCCAGTAGAGCAGAGGGCTGTCAGTTAAATTGCACCGTGTGATAATATTTGCTGTGACATGCAGCTTAGCCAATGTTGACCCCCATCTTTTTAACAAGCTCACTCCATGTGTTATGTGAGAGATGGCTGTTTGGAAGGGCCGAATGTAAGACGAACCTGCATGCCCAATATGTGACCCTTTGCGTTCATCCGTATCTTTTTTTTCACCTCATTCTCATATTCTCTTCTTTGTGGGTGCTTTTTTTTTTCTTTTGATGTTTCAGTGAGAGAATTTATTGATTATGATAGCTAACATGGAATTTGTGAGTGTATTGTGTTTATAGTAATTGTAGATTTATTTAGAAGATTGTTAGCTAATTTCCCTTGTGGTTTTTGCAGTTCCATTTTGGAGAAGACCCATTGTCCCCTTAACAAGCATGTTGTGGAAGGCAAGTAATAGGGGTTTTGCTTTAAGTGTGGGAGTGCATCTGCCCGAGTAGCAAGGAATCAAGTGTGCATCAAATAAACCAGATCTGTAAAATGGATGTGCACACAAAACTCAGGTTCTGGATCAAGACATGTGTCCTGTGATTGATGAACAAAAACTTTCCGCACCCGTTTAACAATAAGAAGAAGATAATGATTTATTTTTATTCATTTATCATTATAGTAGTATGCATTGAATTTGTTTATGTGTGTGTGTGTCTTTTATAGAGAGAAGTACATGCACACACACACATTTTTAACAGTCTACTGTGTTTGGAGGTCAGTCAAGCAAAATGTATTTTATTTATCTGAGCCCCCTTTCATCACACCTTTGTTTGTGACTAATCATGCGTTTTACATTTGTCAGGACTTGCCTAACGCCATGAACGCTGCAGAAATCACAGACAAGCTGGGACTTCACTCACTCCGCAACAGACAGTGGTTTATCCAGGCCACATGCGCCACCAGTGGGGACGGCCTCTATGAAGGTCTGGACTGGCTGTCCAACAGTCTGAAGAAGAAGTCTTAATGTGTTGCTCAGTAAATACTAAATGTCTCTGCACTCATTAATGACAAATGTGGAAACAAATTCTGGAGTTGCTGGTCTTGATTATTTTGATATGGTACAGCCAAACCAAATAAATATTGCAATGAACTGCAAATTGAACTTGTTAGGTTTTGTGGCATACATCACCAATTTGTGTACATTGACTGAGTGAATGCAGCTACATTATATAGTGAGGGTGTAACATGTTATTGACCAAATGATGCCGTTTGATGTTCTAAAGCAAACACACAACTGCATTATTTAGTGAAGGTATACTGTACAGTTACTGGTATTATCTTGTGACGTTTGTTGCTTTAGGACTGTTGTACGATAGGGATTTCTTGTCAGAGAGCCGAGTATGGAAGGTTTATTTGGTTTGTTTTGTTTCATTATCATCAGAAGGGATCGTTTTGACTGCTTAATCTTATTTGTGGTGTCATGTTTTCAACACCAGTGGGTTTAGTCTGTTTGCTGCAGTACTTGATTTCCAATGCAGGTCTGAAAGATAACTGGAAATATGTATTGAAAATAGTTTTATTCCTGTGGTTCAGTAGTATTTTCACATGCATTGATTGGTTCAGTCCTGGTAACAACAAATGGTGATGTCCTGTTCAAAGGAAAACCATTTTTTCAAGTTTCAAATGAAAAGTGGTAATTGCTGTCCTTTTTAAAAAAAAATGATTTTGATAGTTGAATTGAAGTGAGGCCTGAGTGGAAAGATTCAGATAGTTATAGTTAGTGTTATGCAGATTTTGTTGCAGTTGTTGGCATATAGAAAAAGGTTCAGACAGTTTTATGACGCTTCTCTTCTAGATCAGTGTTTTGAGTATAAATAGGAATGTTTGCAAAGCCCCTCAGTAAAACAGGAACATGGTTTATATTTAAATATTTTGGTTTAAAATGACTAAAATTTAAAAATAAAAGGTGGTAGTAGTTTTTTAAAGTACTTTGTCATATTGACACAGGAAACCAAAAATGATTGACATTCTAACAAACGTCCACCCACATTGGACAGCAGATTCTTTGTAGCCATAGGGTGTCCCTTTATAATTTTATTTCTAGTAAACAAGATTTATGTGATCGGCTACTGTTAAATTTGCTAATGAGAAGGTCTTTGAATCACTAAGTATCAAAGTTTCAGGTAGCAGTTCCTTGTGGGGACAAAATATATAATAATTTCATACCCATTTGACATAGTTTGGACACAGATCTTTCTTAATTGTAATTGCTGTGTCTTATAGAACATAGGGAAACAATAATAATAATTAAAAATTGAAATATAAACCGCATTCGTGTTCTATTTCCCTTTATTAGTTTGTTTGGTTTACTTAAATGTCCCCATTTTCTTAAAGTTAAATATTTACATGCTCTACTCAGTCATCTTTCTTCAATGCACATTCCAGTATTTCTTCCCTCGTTAGAAAAAAAAGCCTATACCGTATGAAGATGCCGGTTCATTTGTTACAATTTCAGTTCATTAATACTTCTTAGTTCATTTGAAATTATGCTCAGCTTAGCTAACAGTGCACTCAATTATGCTCTTTAATGAAGAACTGTGACATGTCATACTATGTGATTTGTAATTTTTTTTAAAGTTAATTTATTTCTTTGTTTCATACCCATTTTTATAGCATGAATGGAATAAAATTGGTACTTCAGATTTTATCTTTTGCATTTGATTAGTGATTTTGTTTCTGGCTTGTACTTGTTGCTTTAAAGAGGTTAGATTCTCTGCACTACACTCATTGCAGGATGCTGTTTGTTACAGTGTCTCACAAGCATGAATCTAAAACATTTAGATAAACGAGTACACTTAGTGACATTGTGACTAGCTAGAACTCACTTTGAGCAGTCAGCGTGGATATGTACAGGGACAGAGGAAAATGTTTGGCTGTTTCATGCTAGGAGTTATTGCTGAATAGTTGTGGAACAGTTATCCTGTTTGTGAGATCACAGTTTTTGATAACCTAGTATTGGTATCACTGTAGCTCCTTAGTTAATATATATGTGCAATGTTTTTAATGGTTGGTTATAGAAGACATTTTTTGTTTTCGGTTAATATTTAGCACTAGGAGCAGCATTTAGTTCTTTTCTTTAGAAGCGGTGGTTAGTAAAATAGTGAATTTCTTCTAGAGTTGATTGATGGCCAGTTAAGTGCTGAAGACCTCAGATCTTTTCTTTAAGGTAGTTTTATTGAATCTCGTAGGCTTAGATTTTTTTTTATATTTGAGGAATGGGCACTGTTAGAGAAATAGATAGGTTTGACTTGTCTGTAGTCTTTCAGGATTGTATGCTCCCTTTGTCAGATATGTGAATCAAGACAGCTGCTAGCATTTTAATATGTGAGCCTGCATATATTTGCATCATTTTATTTGGCAATCTCTTGTACTTTGAGCCATAAACATGCACACTTTGGGCCACAAATGTGTATATTGCTCATACCACCGCAGCCTAAAAAGGACTATTGCTTAGGATCTGTTTGCAGTATAGTGCTTGGGGAATATTGAAAGTGCTGATGTTGATAGCTGTGTACCTTCACAGTGGATGGTTATGATCATGTATCCACTTGACTTTCTTTTAATCTTCGGGTTATTCTTGTCAAAGGGCTCTTCTTTTGCTGAAATCTGTGGTTTAAGATTTTACCACCAGTACACATAATTCATTAAGTGAGGGTGACTAGCCTAACTTTAACAGTTTTTGTGACTGTCCTTTTAGAATTTGCATAAACTGCTGTTTGCCCATTTCATATTCTATTGTTGAACCACAAAATATCTCTTTTGGCATAGCATAAAGCATAGCAGTCATGTTTCACTTTAAGTTTTCTTGTTCTTTGTTCACCAGCTGTAAGCTGCAGCGGAAAGTACTTGTTGTTCATCCACTTTGTGCCAGGGCCTTGCATGTACATCTGTTTTACTGGCTTATTTTTGTGCCTAGGCTAAGTTTTGCATGTACAATCTGTTTTACTGGCTGATTTGTGTGCATTTGGTTGTTCTTGCTGCTCTGGCAGATGCACTCTAACTTCGAAGGAATCTCCCAAATAGTCTACTCCTGCGACGTGCTTGTTGGGGAGGCAGCGGGTCTGTTCTTGCTTTCCCCACAATAGGACCCCTGAACCCACACTGTGACTTTAGTTAGTAGTCTATCCTACTTACTTTATTTCCTGTTTCCGTATTACCAGTTGTTGTGAACTGATTGGTAATAAACTGCAGTCCTGTCTGTCTTGTTCACCTGTGCTTATATCAAGTGTACTGATTACAACTATTGTAATTTTTATGTTGACTAGCATTTTCCACACCCTTTTCAGTGTTATGATGTTGCTTAATTGCATTGTGAATTGTGGCAGCATAGACCTGCACAGTCCTAGGCTAGCATAGCCACAGATGAATGTCAAATTCAGTTTTCACTGTGACCTTTCTCTACATCACAACAGGAAAACAGCGTCATCTGAAGTAATTCCTTCTACACACCATCATGATGATGTTATTCCTTTCACATATCATAATGTAGTGGTTTCTGTTAAGGTTTATGACAAGATTTAAATCTAGAAACACAAATAGTACTATCAACTCTCAATACACCAGTGTCATTTATTTGTACTATCTGAACATCAGTATTTGAAGAAAAAAATAACAGTGAACTGCAGGTGAAAAAATGGTACAGAATACAATAACTAAACCATCAATCCAGACTAAAGTAGCTGTATCAATGATAGCTGTAAAAACAAATATAGACATTTCCATAGGTTCTAAAACAAACTACACACTGATCTACAGAAACGAACACTTACTTCTGCCAAAATAATCCCTTTTTCCACGTTCAGTGGATTTTTATCTGGAACATATGTGTTTATACTTCAAGACTTTCTGTAACATCTGATAATTTTGTCTGTACTGTATTACTGTAACTGAAATCTAAATTTTATCACTGACTGCCAACTGTTTTGTAGTTTCTGATGCCTTTAGTCTAATTTGTGTTGTGCTAGTTTTTATGTTTCTGTCATTTTCTGTTCTTCCTGTCCCTAAATCCATGAAGTAAGTTCTTGTTTGTAATCCTTTAGAAACTGAAACTCTGAAGATGTATAGATATAATCAAGCTACTTCATGTGGTCTACAGCTCTTAGTTTATGTCGTCTTTCACCTTAGGCATGTTTTTTAAAAATCCCAGGAAAAATTAGTTAGTTAGTTATTCCTCTTGTGCCAAAGATGGCGCATAGGGCAGAGGTCATAGCTTTCCACGTCTGTCGGTTCTTTGCCACTTGATGTAGGTCTTGAGTGCGACTGAGACCTATGGTTGAGCTCTCCCTTGTGATGGTTCTACGGAGAGTTTCTTTTGGTCTTCCCTGTTTTCTTTTACCCTCTGGTGACCATATGAAGGCTTGGTGGGGAAGTCTCTGTATGTCCATTCTGAGTACGTGACCGATGTAATTCCAGCGACGCTTTCTAATAAAATCAGACACATATTTTTAAAAAAAAATTCATTTACATTTTAAAATTTGTTTTCTGAAATCAGGGAGTAAACATCAACAGAGTGATGAGTTAAACAGAATACATTTCCCAGGGACTTTAACATATATTTGGTGACTGACTCATACTGTGAGGCTGTTGGAATTGTAACTTTTGAAAAGCCTATTAAATGGCATTTACGGAAAGGGGACACTGATATATCAGTTAATTACTGACATATAATCTGTTTCCAAATAACTTTTATGACAATTTCACTGACCACAGAGCAACATATACATGCTGCAGTATATTAGTACATAATACTGATTATTTATGTCTCATAATCTCAGCCTGTTCTCAAATATAACTTCCACTTAGTATATCAACGGTTTCAGTCCCAGATGGTATTGAATTCAGCAGTGGCTATGCTGAAGTGTGTATCCTACAGCAATGTTTTAGTCTCATAGAGCTAAAAAAAATAAATACACTTTTGGGAGACAAGGTGTCGATAAAACTTGGAAAATGGGCTAATGGAAGAATGAGATAAGAAAGTAAAGAAGTGTGTAAAATATGCAATGTGAATTGTAACTAATGAACGTATGGCGAGTTTCCTGGTACTGAAAGAGTTAAATCTGTAAAAAATGTTAGATAGAAGTATAAACAATACCAATAAGGCAACATCAAGTACCTTGTTGACCGGGGTGAGCGATCATGCCTCTCAGCAATCTGCAATCTTCAACAGAAGGTATCTATTCTTTTATTGACACCCACCTCCATGCCATGACAGAAGGCTGCAAAGAATCATCTCCAGTACCCTTCCACAGTCTGACATGACCAAAAAATGATGAATGTCTCTTTCTAAAAATGTCTTCGAGAGCTCACCTTTTTCAAAATATTTGGGTTGTTCTTGTTGGCGGCCAAGAAATTATCTGCCTTGTTTATTAATTGTCCATATGTTGAAACTGGCTCTATGTGGCAGGTGAGAACTCTTTTTCCTAAACCTCCAATGACATGAATTTATTGCATACAATTTTCATTTTATAAAATGATTTTTTTTTTAGTCTGTCCTATTCTGTTCTTTATCTCTGTGATACAACTTCCATCAGATGTTATCCTTGTGCCGAGATAGTTGAATTTCAGCATCTGTCCTAAAATAATGCCTTTGACTTCTGTTATACATTTTGAGCACAATTATTTTCTTCTATTTTACCATTACTTCTGTCTCCCCATTATTCAAGCTGAGGCCTACTTCATCATTGTCTACCACCACTGTATCTTCCATCCCTGTAGTTCTTTCTGACTTGTCACAATCAAGACTATGTCATCATCATAAACCATGAGTTGTAAAATTTGGCTCTGTACTAAAATATCACAACCCTTTGGCCTCTGATTCCATTATGAGTACCATTAATCTGGGAGAAATGTGGCTTTTCTGCCTACCCAAGCTGAGTGCCGGACCACAAGGAGTGTCGTAACACCACTGCCGCCGCGAAATCCCAGTAGTTTTTCTGACTTTCGCTAGAGAGCCGGCATCATCATAATCTAACTTGTGTTTCGACCATCAACCACAGTTCTTGGCATATCACTGAATAATAAAAACAAAATGATAGTACACATCCTTGGCGTATGCCCTCTTTCAATAAGGCATATGACAGTAACAAATATCAAAGACACAGTTATGGTGTTTAAAAAAAATATTGTGATGAATGTCTAAAAGACTTCTTCGGCATCCAGAGCCTTTGAATTCTTCAGTTCCTGGAAACGGGTAATAATATGGTCTATGCTGTGTTCTCCGTGAACCTTGTTGTCACGTGTGCGGACATTAGCTGTCTTGTTGGCGGTCTCTTTCTCTCCCACAACTGTTGGAAGCAATCAACAGCAAAAATTATTCACTGTAATTTGTTCCCAAAAAAAGTTCAAAACTGAATGTGTTTGCTTAAAGGCATGGCACATTGATTATGATCAAACTATGTACAGTTATGCAGATACTGTTCACGCCAGTCAATTCTCACTGTTGTCATTATACTTTCAAATGCCACGTTGGATTTCCAAGAGAGAAATTACAAGAAAACAGCAACTTGGGGTGGGGGGTTCCCAGGATGGTCAGCGTAACTGGGTAGATAAGCTCAGATCTGAAGCACCCTTTGCACCACATGCTCTTCAAGAAAAAATCCTAAAAGGGGCAAATCATGGCTGGGTAGGGCAGAGGATGACATCATGAAGGTTTGCAGCCTTACTGGTAAGGAATGGATTCAGGTTAGTTGCGTATCCTTTACAGGACGTTGCAGAACCAACTCCATCAGCCCCTGGCTGTTGTGTCTTCACTAGGCAAAAATCCTTAGTTTTGCCATTGCTTTCTGGACTGTCAGCTCCCTGATACCACTATCGAAACCATGGCAAGGGTAGTGGCCCGCAGAGGATCGACATGTACCCCGGCATTACGAAGCGTTCACATCGACTTAGCCACAGAGCCGACAAGGAATGGATACCAGCATCTAAAGCACCCAATCTCACGTTCTCCTGTGTCATGAAGCTCGATAGGAACTGTCGGGAGCAGAATCCAGCTGCTGTCAATGCCGAGAAATGTACGCTTATCAGTGATGAGACAGATGTGGTGATCTTCACATACGGGTCCGTTATAAGAGTGCATGGGCATTTACAGCTCGCTCTTCAGCAGCGGTACCTTCTCCATGACCACCAGCAGCATGACAATGGAGGTGATGGCGGTGATACAAGCTTTCATGTGGTTAGAACCACAGGACTCATTCCGGCGTGTGTATGCTGAGTGATTCTTTGAGCATGAATTGGCGGGTCGAGGCAGGCTGGTTACCCAGACAGTAGTTTAAGTCATTGCAAAACTGTCCTGTGTGTGCAGTTACCTTCATATTCATCCCAGGGCATGCAGGCGTTGATGGTAATGAAAGAGCTGACAGACTGGCAGGTGCGGCATTAACTGAAGATGGCCGGCCCATGGATCAAACAGTCATTGCCCTTAGAGAGATGGGACATTCTGAGGATTTTGGAAGCCACGTGTCCACATCACTGCTAAAAATACGCAAATTGGGAGTAAATATCGGCACAGCCAAGCATGAGAAGCAAACTGGATGCACATGAAGTCATGTTAACCAACGTAGGACTGGCACTATTAACCGCACGGCGCTGATGAATATGTTGAGAGGGGAATCTGAGCGCATATGACATGTCTGGATTGCTGTGAAGAACTGGGTAAGCCAGTTCATTCTTTAGAGATGTCGTAATTTATATATGATTTTATACTATTTTCCAAGTCTTGAGGCAAGTCATGTTGGCGCCAGTTTACAGGCTTAAAATGATGTATAATCAATTGCAAACCAAATATTCAGCTCTGAATACTCAAACAGAACGATTCAGCAATGAAACTGGGGCCTGGTTAATATGTTTGTGTTGGCAATTTTCTGTTTTTCAAGACAATAGTGTGATTAATATAAAATTAATTCACTGTCCTGCTGCACCATTAACTGTCACAGTATTTCTCCATTCTGTATTATGCTGTGCAATCGCCTCAGTTAGATGGGTGGAATACAGTCCAGCACCTCTGGCCTCTCTGATCTCGCATTAGGGTTTCTCTTGGATGTCCCAGTTTTCTCATTTCAGTGCATTAATATACAATAGCTTCCCATACATTTTGCTTCGCACACAGCTCAGTACTTGTTTCTAATGTTCTGAAGTATGATCAAACTATTCAGGAAAAGTCACTCTGCCGAAATCCTTTTAGCTTCATTTCTTAGCCTAAACATGCATAATTCGGATTAACAACTGAATATTTTCAACAGTGCATTTTTTAAGTTCGTTTTTGAGTGCCATGAATACCAATGTTCCAACCACAAGTAGAGGTCGCAGAATGCGTCTTTCTGCAGCCAAAGCTTTGAAATTGTTTCAGTCAGATGTTTTAAATTCTGATAATGATAGTGAAAATTCAGATTTTTCGGAAAGTGATTCAGATGATTTTTCACCAGCGAAGCTGAGGGATCAGCTGTTCTCTGATGAGTTTATTACACAGACAATGTCCCTTTGCTACCATATTTATGGTGAAAGAGAAGGAAAGTGCTCTAAACAAAGAGATTGTACTACACTATGGCTAAGCTACACTGAAGTCATCGCAGTTACAGTCTGTATAAAACTGTAAATAGTCAATAGCATGTGTGTAATGGCTAATTTTTCGGCCATTTATTTTCTCTGAAATTTTTCTCAGCACTCTGTGAGAACTAAGAGCCCCTGAGTGCTAAATTAAACTCAGAAACTTGTCATAACTTTGGAAATTGGTAGGAAATTTAACAAACTTTGAAATTTTGTTCTCAAATTTGGACATTTACTACTTGTGTGGCTGCAAAACCATGGTAAGTGAAGAATTTGTTTGCAAAATGTTGTAAAATTAACACCTGCTGAATTCTTCTTTCCTACTAGCTATAAAAAAAATTTAAACATACACTTATCATCACATTCAAAATGTACATTCATTTCTCTTTAAAAATGTATATACTTTTATTAGGATTAGAAGTATATTACATTCTCTATTGCCTTTCTTGTACACCCACCCTCTGCCATTTTTGTAAAGGGAAATTTATGTGGACCAAGTCTGTCCAAATTCATGGGCCTGAAAGAGTTAAAGCCATCACTCCATATTTTCTGAGGTCTTCCACTCGCTCTTTACCTGTTGTAACATTTTAGTGTGGCTCGCTGTGGCAGATAGTACCAGGGCATCCTTGTTAGGTGTCCAAACCATTTCATTTGTTGTTCTTCAATGACTTGTAAGACTGGCTTTATTCCTAGCATTAGTCTGATTTCGTGATTTTGTATTCTCTCTTTCCTTGGAACTCCTACAGCTCTTCTAAGGCATTGCATCTCTGTGGTCACAATTTTACGTTCATTGGAGGATGTAAGTGTCCACGTTTGGCATTGATAGCATAGTGTTGGCCAAAAACAGTTTAGATAAGATTCACTTTAGTACTCTTGGGTATCTGTAAATATACAATAGCAAACTAATACAATCAACAAAAAGGAAATAAATGCCTACCAAAGATGAAATTGTACTGGGCTAACTGGGCATTGCGAATTTTCTTGTTCAATGTCAGTCCCTGGTCAAGATCATATTCACACAGGAAGCCTGCAGCACGAATCTGACTCATCACCTGAAACCACAGATATGTGCACTTCATTTACAAAACACACCTCAGGCAAAAACAAGATTTTTCTTAATTTTAAACTACCTATTTACATGCCCCTAAATCATCAGTGAATTAATTTATCTAGGTTCCCAGTACAACTAACCGAGCCTTAAAGTTATAGCCAGAAAATATTCTGTGAAGTTCCAGTAATGAATACCCACCACTGAGTTCTTCACCCCGGGAACACACCCAAAAAAAATTGGTCATGACCAAGTTAGATCGAGGGAAAAGTCCATAAAAACAGCCTGTACAGGCGTCACTAATGCATTCGTTGAAACTATATTTTACAATTATTTTTCAAAATATTTAAAGATATATTAAAGGAGTAATCAATAAACACAAACAGGGTGAAGCAATAAATGGAATACATCCCCAGGTCTAAAATACACATTTATCAGGTGAATCAAGCCGTAAAACACTGACACCCCCACCCCTTTTCCGCCAGTGGTGTGAACCTATAAATCTACATAAGGAGGACTGGAACTAATATATACTATTAAAAAAGAAATATTGCATAGTTATCTAAAGGTGCATTTTTTTAAATGTTGCCAGTACGCTTGAAAACTACTGATGACTAAGATGCTAAAGAACTGTCAACTGGTTGGTTAAACCTAAGGTTTGTGTGTGCAATATGAACAATATTAAAAGATTCTGAGCATCAAAACTATTTTTCTTCCCGTAACTGTTTTTTTTAAAACAGTACATATGCACCCACCAATACAGTCAGTCATTTACCCACCTAACCACATGCCCGCACCGAGAGAGAGAGAGAGAGACAGAGATGCTTACAGAATGAGAGAGATATACTACCTTCTCTACAAAAGAATGTCCTGTTCAGTTTCTACTTTAGGAGTAGCAGCTCAGGAACTCGCAATTATTATAAATTATACTAGTAATTATCATACATTACTAGCAATTATCATAACGAGCATCCATGATTGATTTACCATTCACAACGAAGATATTATAAATGAAACAAAACATAAAAACTCACTTCTCGTGCATAGTCATCAAAAACTGGGGAAACAGTCACCACAATCGCCTGTCTTGGTGACAGCCAGAATGGCCTACAATTTGAAAGAAAAATAACAATACACTCTATAATACTACTGTAATCAGAGAACTATTTAACAAAACACCCTATAATACTACTGTAATCAGAGAACTATTTAACAAAACACCCTACAATACTACTGTAATCAGAGAACTATTTAACAAAACACCCTACAATACTACTGTAATCAGAGAACTATTTAACAAAACACCCTATAATACTACTGTAATCAGAGAACTATTTAACAAAACACCCTACAATACTACTGTAATCAGAGAACTATTTTTTATCCATATACTAGATTTAATGGCCTGGCTTCGCCTGGAATAGTAGGGAAAAAAAAGTTTTATTTTTATCTTGGTCTTCACCGCTGCTGCACAAATAGTAGAAACTCCACCGAGGTGCTAGCATGAGAGCCTTTTATCTTTAAGATACTCTTGGACAACCTGATTTCCTAAACCCATCAATGGCCCATTTTGGTGCACGTCTGAATTTACTGTAGCGAATTTTTTTTTTAACAGGGCATGGAGGCCGCCCCTGGGTCATGGCCCAAGGTGGAGTGGTAGGAGCGTCCTAGGTCAGTTCTTCCCCCCACAGTTAGTGCTATTGCCACTTTAACGTCCCTCTGGAATGATGGGGCTGTGATTCCGAAAGGGAGCTCAGGGTTAAAATTTACCGTGTTGGCAATCATCCAAATCTGAAGGATAAAGCAACAACCTTCTCTAACATCGCTATCTTAACCTCTATGTTTCAAGGGAGATAACAATGAAATGTAATTAATTTTTTTTTTTAAAAACAAATGTAAGGAATACAAAAGAAAAAATTCAAAGCGATATAACCCCAGGAAAAGTATATATTTTACTGATTGTCGCAATAAATTTAAAAAATGTACAATAATCTTGCCACCAATGTGACTGTTTCATTTAACTCTGTAGCCATAATGGCAGTTTAAAAATTAACCTGTGTTCTGGTGACAATTTGAGAGGAGTTAGCAGTTCTTTTAAAATGAAGCTCCAATGCACAGAAAGGATGGCAAATTTAGGAAATACAAGAATTGAGGCACAAAAGATAGAGCCTCCCCCCCCCCCCCCCCCCCCCCCAAAAAAAAAAAAAAAAACCGATATTGCTCTCACAAATCTGAAACAAATAACCACTTTTCATACAACCATCATCATCATAAAGCGCCGGGCAGAATATTGGCATGGATTACCTATGATCTTGTCATCCCTTTTTGGGATGCAATTTTTTGTTATTTGAAGCCCTACTCTAGTTCTTGCCAGGGGCCGAAATATAGCCTGGCCATATAAATATGGTCTAATGGCTGAACGCGGTTTCTGGGACCTCTCCACGGGTGATCCTCATCCACATGGTGGAACTTTGTGTCATCTGGTGTTTATCGCTTGTGTGATGTCCTAGTGGGGTAGAAAGTTACTAATTACTTACATTGGCATGGATGGTCATGTCTTTCCACAATCTCCTATTTTCAACAGCATGTATCAGTTTATGTGCTGACACCCTAAGCCATGACAAAGGGCTGTCAAGAATCTTCTTGCACTGTCTTTCGCTGTCTCTTTTTCCACAGGTCTTTCCAGTGGTCACAACATGTTCTAATTTACCTCTTCTCATAATCCCTCACCTCCATCAAAATATCTAGGTTACTTTTTTGTTGTTGTTGCTCTTAAAGGAATTTAATAGATTCTTTTGTAAAACAACACCCCACAGGCCACAAGAAACTCTTTGGCTTGTTTATTAATTGTCCAAGATTATTGACAGCCATATGGTAAAACTGGCTGTATACAGCATGCACCAGTTATTTTTCTACCTTCGTGGGACATGGATTTATTGCAGAAATTCACAGAGTACCCAGAGGGGGTAAAAAAAACCAAGTAGAAGATTTGCCTGGAAAAGTAACCTGGATCCTACTTGCCACCACAAGGAAAAGTTCTGCTAGTCATCAATCATTGAAAATCTACTGGTCAGGAAATGCCTACTTTTTTCTTTTCTTTATTCTGTTGGTAATATCTGCTTTGTGCTGCTAGGCATTACAGTTAAATGGATCACATGTGGGTGATTTCCCCAAAAAACTATTTGGGGGAAGGGGGTGTGTGGTCAACTGAAACTAATAGCGTCAAAACTGAACCCTTACTAAAACTAATGAACACAAAATCATAACAATAAAGATGAGATGATTCAGAAGACCTGCCATAGTAAAAAGAAGAGATAAAATTAAAAATTAAGATATTAGAAGTCTAGGCCTCAAACCAGTCACAGTATATTTAAAAAACCAAAACCAGACAACAATCATTCTAGACTCAGCGGTTTCAGGATTATCACTCTACAAAATACTTTTGCCAAGGTGCTAAAGAAGATTATTGCTGTTAAACTACAAATGTTTTTGAGGGGTTCTAGAACAGACAGGAGACAGTAGTGGCAGCAATTAATCTTGAGGATGCCTACAACAAAGTCAGATATGATATTTTGATATCTGCGCTCGTGGTGAACTGGAGAGCAGCTGTCCTGCATTTCTGTATGGTTGCCCTTCGACTGGGTACATGGACCTTAGAACAATGTAATATCACCCATAGAAAGATCAAACTCAATACAACTGGCAGGTGATCACAGGCCACTTGCTAAGTCTTTGTGGGTGCATTTGGCCCAGGGGCCACCAGTTGAATAACCGTTCTCTGGGGTCTTCTAGAAACAGGCTCCCTACGAGAGGCCTGGTCAACAGAAAGAATTGAAAGACACCTACCATTTGCCACCAAAATGTTCACAAAGAATTGCTATCATCCTCTCAATAGATCCTAGCACTGCACGGTGGATTATCACAGGCCTCTCATGCTCTTGATGGTCACTGTAGATATTAACCAAATATTTGTCTAAGAACAATTAGGGCATTTCCAAGTTACAAATATTAACACAGACACATTTAAAAGTGAGTTAAACATGGAGAAGACAATCAGTGGAGCATGTCCTCCAAGACTGCTGATTGTATTACATGTGCAGTTGGCCTTCTCCAAACATCTGAATTAATAAAGTCTAGGGTCAGAAAGAAAATGTAAAAGTAACTGCCAAATGTCAGGATTGGTTTGGAGGATCATCTTCATAGTCCCACAACGCCATGTTTCATTGGGTTACCAGTTGTTGTTGATTGCCTCCACCGTTGCCGCTCAGATACAATAGGTTTGATGTTTGTGTATCTGATGCCTGTAAGTAAGTAAAGTAAAGTAAAGGACCTTTTCCACGAGTTTAGTCCTATAGGGCTAGACCTATGTTTTTATAGACCAAACGGCACAAGATGGGTGATGTGGTCAGCATCACGCCGGCCGCCTTTACTTTCCCAAGTACCCACTCAAGGCTGGGTCGACCTGGGAGCCAAGTCATTTTTTTTTTAAAGTCTGGCCCCGCCAGGGAGCGAAGATGCCTGTACTGTTAGCTAAATTCTCTATCCAGGTCTGTCTTGGTGGACCTTTCCTACTCTACAGTATCATTCTGGAGAGGCTGGTAGATCTTGTTACATGTCCGTACCATTGCATTTTCTGTCTTGGAAACTGGCCATCTGGAGAGGAATGGACTCCGTCAGGGTTGACAGACTGCCATATACGCACCATTTTAGGGATAAATTAGACTATTCATGGGAAATAGGGTAACTTTAACTGGTGAAGATATATTTTTTTTTGAAAGTGCATATACAGGCTCAAAAAAGTCAAAGAACCACATGGAAAGATTGTACTGAGCCTATGTGATTAACAAGCCTGTGATGAGTCATAGACTAGACGTCAATGTAGATTCCTCTTCTTCGGCATTCTGTCTGAGCCCTTGAGGTTCACTGCTGCAGACATCACCCACATCCAATCATCGCACTGTTTGGCCTTCTCTTTCCCGTTGGTGACTCCAAGTGTTTGTTGGTCTGTATGTATATTAGCTCTACACCGTCTTCTTCTTAGTTTGCCTCATGGTCAACGTAGATGCATCAGGTAAAAGTTCCTGGAAGTAGTGAGGTAGCAAACCAAATAATGTGGTTGCGGTGCTTTCACTATCAGGTTTGGCATGTTAGAATAAATGTCAGTAGGTGATACAGATGAGATAATACATGTGTCATTGTTACAATAGATGCAGTCCTCTGTAATACTGAAAATGGAAGAAATGAATCAGCAATATCTTTCAACCTTTTAACCTTTAACCTCACCATTGCCATTTATATTACTGCTAATAATATACTGCCAACTTCTTTGTCTTTTAACTACTGTCCGGACACTGTTTTGATTTCAATGCCTTGTAAAATCATACCATTTAATTTTCATAAACTTTCTCAGTCGTCTGTTCAAACATATAGGCTTCATTTCAATAATTATGCCATCAGGGTTCTTTAGTATATTATTATTAAATGTAAAAAGTACAAACACGAATGAAATAGATCTTGGTTTACATGAAGTATAGCTGATCATTCATGAGATAGCTATGAGGAAAATATAGAAACACTCACTTGATGAAGGTAAGGTTGAATTTTTCTGGAAGCTGGAAATCAAGCTGTATGGTGGCACATTGTTGGCTTCTCTTCAAGGCATCATTTATCGTGATATCAATCTGGGGAAACAGAACACTTTTTCTCTGATATGAAGAATACAGCAGATTTCAGTCACAATTACACATTTTTCCTCCTCCCTTCTAACTGTGTCTGCGTGAGTATCAGTGTGTGTGTGTGAGTGTGTGTCTTTGTGTGTGCGCTTGTGTGTCAGTGTATGTCTGTCTGCGAATGTGTTTGTGTGCATGTATCTGTGTGTGTTTGTGTGTGTGTCTGCGTCTGAGTGTTTTTGTGCATTTATGTGTGTGCTGTGCTTGTATGTGTGAGTCTGCGTACGTGTGTCTGCAGGTTTGTGTGTCTGTGTATCTGTGTTTGTGTCTGTGCGCATATGTATGTTTGTGTGTGTGTCTACATTTGTTTCTGTGGGTGTGTCTGTGTATATATGTATGTGTGTAAAATGTGTTGGTAGGTAGATATGTATGTGGGTCAATGGGGGTGTGTATGTGGGTGTGTATATATGCGTGTTTAAGTGAGTGGGTGGGTGTGTGCGCGCACGCTAGTATGTGCATGCATTTTACCATTTATGCTGTTGTGTTTTTTTTCTCTCTTGATATTTATAATATGTATATTATCATATGACACGACCAGCAATGAATGGCAAGGGAAGTCACTCTCTTTCTGGGCCTGACATCGTAAGTTGTTTAAAAAAATTATTTAAAGATTAAAATGAAATGATCACCATTCAAATATGCTCTAGTGGTTCACTGGTAATTTATAATTGTGTGTGCGTGTATGCATGCGAGAGTGTGCGTGTGGGAGCTATGTTAACTATACTGTGTACAGAATGTTGTCTTCTTCTTTTGCCGTTCATCCCCCAATAGAGTATAGGCCCTCAACCGAAGCACACCGAGTCGCTCTTTCCTTTGCTATCGTATGCGGCTTAACCCATGTCCACCCTATCTTTTGAACTTCACTATCTAGCTCCCTTTTCTATATGTTTTAGGGGTCTGTCTTTATTTCTTTTCCCCTGTGGGTTCCAGCACAAAGATATTCCATGTATACTATTCTCAAGTATTCTTAACGTGCATTATATCCAATGCCAGCATCTTTTCCTCACCTCTTGATTCTCTAGAACTTGTTTCGTTCTTTCCCAAAGCTCAACATTACTGATTCTATCATTCCATTTGATTAACTCTATCCCAGGCAGACACCAGTTAATGAATATTTGCAGTTTTGTTTTTTAAATAACTGTTTTAGCTGTTCTCTGTATTTGACTGATTTGACTTATAAATTTTAAGTTAAGAATTAGTTTTAATTTTCTTTAACTTCCACAAATTTCCTAGTGCTATGAAAACTCCTTTTGCCTTTTGTATTAGTTTTTTTAATATTCTGTCAATTCTACCACCTTTTTCTTCATTACTGCCCAAATACGTGTATGACTCCACATCTTGAAGTGGGATATCATTAAGAGAAATTAATTACTACTTGCCAGGTTTATTCTCCTTATTTTTATCTTTCCCTTTTGGAATTTCAAACCCAATTCTTATGATCTTGCATCAAGTATGTTTAATTTATCGTTCATCTGATTCTATGAGTGGGAGAGAAGTATCATTAGCAAAGTCCAGATCATCAAGCTGTTTTGTAGGGATCCATTGAATTCCATTCCTAGTTGTATCTGTTACTGTTTTTATAATCCAGTCTTGTACCAGTTAAAATAGTAGAAGCAACAAAAGCCATCCCTGTCACCCACCTGTTTTTATTTCAAATGTATCTGTTAGTCACCACTCTTGAAAAAACATGATATCAGCACAAATAATAAATAATATCATTGGACACCTCTCTAGGAATTGCAGTATTTTGTGTCTTATAACTCTTTTTTACCAGTGGTTGTCCGGACATGTCTCTCATGGCCTCATCTTTCTAGAGTGCATTCCATTTTATGTTCATGAATGTCCTTAGGCATGTGATCTTTGTAAGTAAACTAGGTTTTTCAAAGGACTGAATAATATTCTTGAGGTTACTTACATCTGTTCATTAGTATTCCACTGGTATGACTGCTACAGACAGAACAGTGCACTGCACTTTACAGCAGGCTCTGTTTCCTGGTAAACCATGTTTCTTCTTCTTCTTCTCTTCCACCTTGTACCTCACTTCATGTTCAACCTAATATAATGTAGTCACTGGCTTTCTTTGTTTATACAGTGCTACAAATACATGTACATACCTTCGGTCCATAAAATGCACCATCACCTGGATTAAGTTCCCACTGATGCCCACACTCATTCAAACTTTCTTCAAGTTGCTGATAAAACAACAAAGTATAAAATGACAAAGTTTAAAAAAAAAATGTTGTCATCATAATATTTCAAAATCAAAACAAATATAAACACTAACTGGAATCCAGAGCTTTAAATATTTCAGTGTCAGGGTTTAACTAATAAAGCTTCTATTCAACCACACACTAGACATCCTAGGCCTGATGTCTAGCTAATAAACAGGGAATTGACAATTGTCTACGCTGTGATGAAGCCTGCCAAGGGTTCTACTTTCAATACTAGGGCCCTGCATGAAAGTCACAGCTAGCCAAGGGTTCAACTTTCAATATTAGGGCCCTGCATGAGAGTCACAGCTAGCCAAGGGTTCAACTTTCAATACTAGGGCCCTGCATGAGAGTCACAGCTAGCCAAGGGTTCAACTATCAATACTAGGGCCCTGCATGAGAGTCACAGCTAGCCAAGGGTTCAACTTTCAGTACCACGGGCCTGCATGAGAGTCACAGCTAGCCAAGGGTTCAACTTTCAATACCACGGGCCTGCATGAGAGTCACAGCTAGCCAAGGGTTCAACTTTCAATACTAGGGCCCTGCATGAGAGTCACAGCTAGCCAAGGGTTCAACTTTCAATACCACGGGCCTGCATGAGAGTCACAGCTAGCCAAGGGTTCAACTTTCAATACTAAGGCCCTGCATGAGAGTCACAGCTAGCCAAGGGTTCAACTTTCAACACTACGGGCCTGCATGAGAGTCACAGCTAGCAAAAGGGTTCAACTTTCAATACTACAGGCCTGCATGAGAGTCACAGCTAGCAAAAGGGTTCAACTTTCAATACTACAGGCCTGCATGAGAGTCACAGCTAGCCAAGGGTTCAACTTTCAATACTACAGGCCTGCATGAGAGTCACAGCTAGCCAAGGGGTTCACAGCTTTCAATAACACTGGGGGCCCCAGAATTCACATGGGGACTCAAGTCTTCAATCAACAACACTCCTTCATCATCATCATTTACCTTGTGACTGTAATGGGCTATCAATCCTCTCCACATTTTTTATCTCCAAAAGTATGACATTCAGATTTTTCTAGAATTATTCAAGCACGATTTCTTCTAAACAAAATTATGGCTTCTAAAGAAACTTCAAGACAACCAAATATAACAACTATGAACAAGACAACTTGCCTTTTCTGCTTCATCCCAGACAGACTTTTCTCCAAGATATTTTTCAGGTCTGGTAGACAGCCTGAGGCTGAATGTGAAGTTGAAAGTACCGTATATGTACTTCAAGAAGTCCAAACAACTGCGAATTTCCTCTTTTACCTGTTTTACATAAGTGCAGGAACTAATCACATTTTACTCAGAAATGTTAATAAGTACATGCAGATCACATGGCTCACACTGGTTAACAAATATCTTTCTTCTTCTCAGTGATCACCAGTTGTAAACTTCGCTGGTTATTTCTGGTTGTATATTCATTTCTAGACTTTAGTCTTTTTCCAGAATTTACATTGTGTATGCACATCTATTTTACAGATCTGGATTATCTGTATACAGGTTCTTCATCTCTCAGGCAGGCGCACTCCGACTTCAAAGAAAAACCCAGTAAGTCACCTTTTACGTCATGCTTGACTGAGCAAATGGTTGTGTGTGTCTTCCCCCCCCCCACCCCCCCACCCCAAAAGGGGTCCCTGGAGCCCGTACAGTGAATTTTAGAGATATGAAGTGACAGCGCTTCATTCATATCCCACAAGGCTAGCCAGGGCAACAACTGCATGAAGAGGTCGGATGTGTCAGCCGAAAGGTGCAAAATCACAGCCATCTTGTAAATGGGGCACAACACAGTAAAGGTTTTGTCATTACAGATACGTTTGCTGGGGTGTGAACTATTTCTTCTAGGCTTTTCCATATGAGGTATGGCGGCCAGTTTATTTTCCAGTGCATTTCCCAGACGATTCTGGAGATTATCTGGTACCCAATTTTTAGACTGGGTTCACCCCAGCCGAATGTATTCTTAGTGGATGTACTGTTGTTGATCCCAACGCTGCTGCAGGTCTTCTACAAACTGTTCCTTGAACCACCTGTGAGTGAGTAGCTGGTCAAAACGATTTTAACTGAATTATCCTTGTATCTAAAAAGTGCTGCATTCATAGTAAATTCTTGTGATGTGAAGAAGTGTTTAAGTAAAGTAAAGATCCCTTTTCACGACTTTAGGCGTATCGGGTATACAGGAAGAGGGTCCATATTATAACAGACCATCGGACTAGGTGGGTAATGTGGTCAGTATTACGCCGGCCATCTTCACTTCCCCAGGACAGCCATCCTGGTACCCATTTTAGGCTGGGTCGACCTGCAACACCCCATACCACGATAAAAAAAACCATGCAGTCAGCAGTAGGTTTCAACTGTGGAAAGTACTTAAGGAAATCAGTAAATCAAATGTTAATGATAAATGTTATGACAAACATACTGTTGACATATTAAATAGAAACACCATCAAATAATTGTAACGGATGAACAAAATCTATTAAAAAAATACAGAACCTGGTCCTTCCTACAAAATATGTGAGCATCATCTTGCTGAAACCTCCTCACACGAGTCAGACCAGTCAGTGCTCCAGAGCTTTCATTGCGGTGCAACACACCAAAGTCAGCAAGCCTCAAGGGCAACTCTCGCCAAGATCTCACACCATGATCAAAAATCAAACTGTAAACATTAAAATATTTTAACATCAGAACTAACAATGCTGAAAAAACTGTCAATGTTCCCTTTCACGCCAGTGGCACATCAGGCATATGAGGCTAGACTCAAATTTTTACAGACCGGTCAGCCCTCGATGGGTGATGTGGCCAACATCACGCCCGCCAACTTTACTTACCAGAACTTTACCTGGCGCCAATTTGACACCAGGTTGACCTGACAACCAAGGTTGTGTTTGAAAAAAAAAAATCTTGGTCCATGCGAATCTGATTTTCATACTGACTTCTGACTGCTGATGTCAGCTTCTGATACAGACTTTATTTAATTCTCTCTTAGACAGGCTTTTGGTGTCACTTCTGAAACAAGAGTCTTTAGGTCAGTCAGCCTCTCATACAGACTACAGATAATTTCTGATACAAACTCATGATGTCAACTTTTAATACGAACTCCTAATGTTGACTTCTGATACAGATTCCTGATGTCAAATTTTGATACAGATGTCAACTTCTGATTCAGACTACAGCTCATTTCTGATACAAACTCATGATGTCAACTTCTGATACACACTCCTCATGTCAACTTTTGATACAAATTCCTAATGTCAACTTTTGATATAGATGCCTCATGTCAACTTTTGATACAGATTCCTAATGTCAACTTCTGAGACAGACTCCTCATGTCAACTTTTGATACAGACTCCTTCTGTCAACATTTGATACAGATTCCTAATGACAACTTTTGATACAGATGCCTCATGTCAACTTTCGATACAGATTCCATGTCAACTTGTCATAAGACTACTCATAATTTCTGACACCTACTGCTGATGTCACTTCTGTTACAGATGCTTCAACCAAATATCTGGGGTGGCAGGGTTAAGGCTACTTCAATAAAGCTATTTCTCCTGCAAATAAAGAATATTTTCAAACAAGCACACAAGTCTCAACTTACCAATGACCTGGACAATTCATTGGTTTCAAAGCATATGTTTCTTTTTCACACTGAAATGTGAACATGTTTTCCTGAAACAACCAAACATACATAAACTGGATAATATACGAAAGGACTGGAAGTAGTATTGCTAGCATTGCATTTCCACAATTCTGATATATTGCAGGAAGCAATTTGGCTGCAGACCACTTTACACTGATTTCAACAATGGCATAAGTTCCTAACCATTCAGAATGTAATGGCAAACCACTGACAGTAAAATCATAAGCAACCAACAAATGTTGGACTGGTTTGCAAAGTCCTGTAAAGGATATCATCATCATTCTGTGTGAGCTGTTTGACAAGAAACAGGGCTGACATTCTTTTCTGCCATTCTACTCTACTGCATGCAACTCTCTCGATTTCTGACATGGAGTTCAACCTAACATTTTTAGCCTTTCATACCGCTGTTTCCAATTTCAGAGCTTGTTTGGTAATTCTTTGCTTTTTTTTTTTGTTGCTAAAGGAAATTCAAGTTACTTTTGGCCATTGAGTTAACCGTATGTGTCGATTCCTCCCCACCAAATATATGGTTGACACATTCCGTTTCTGGGGACAGCTTTTATCGAGTTTGCTCTCTAGACAGTTGCAGTCCCCTGCTGACAAGATTCTGTCTTCCTGAGTGGACCGCCGCGATCAAAACATTGCGAAGGCAGCATGGCCGAGGCTGCCAAAACTATCAGTCATTATCCCGCCCCGACACAGCACAACCACAATACACGCTGTTCCCACGAAAAACACATAATATCCTGCGTTGGAAATGCGCATAAAATAGCAGTCCATGATTATAGAACAGAATAATCCGAGAGAATTGACAGCCAGCGACAATAAACACAGATGCTGTCCGCCATTTTGAAAACGGAAGTCAAGTTACTTTTAAAAACTGTTATTTCCTAACCATATATGTGGTTCAAGAGGATTACAAAATAAATACATTCACACTCAGTATCTTCCACTGCTTTCTACCTTCACTTGTTCTTCATTGAAGTTCATGCAATGTCCACAGATTCTTACAGAATAATCTGTTGGGAGCAAACTGATAATCAGGTAATTGCAGTTTCAACTTCATAACAAGCCGGTCATCTCATAGTTGCTCCATTCCTGTGCCAAAGAAAATCATACAGAATGTCCACCATTGTTCCTTGTGGAAAAATGTACAGACTGCAGTCTAAAAATATCCATAGTATACACACATATTAAATGCATATTTATGTTTAGGTTTAGACGACCGATCAACATCATGGCACAAGGGCAGCAACCTATAAGTGCCCCGTGTTACTTCTGACTCAAGCCTGAGTCTGAAGAATCTCAGCACATTGCACGAACTCCGTAGCAACGGCAAGGATCCTGAAATACTTTGAGTAGATTTTTAACTCCAAATTTTGCCCAGGCAGCGCTGTTAGGCTACTCTTTTCGATTTCCAACTGCCAGGGAATTTTTTTTTAACGAGTACAGCAATACACACATGATGTTAAAGCAAAGCAAATTATAGGGCATGCTAAGTCTAGCATATTGCCAAAGACAAATGATCACATTTCTTTTTTTTTAAAAACATTTAAAAAAAGATTTCTCTGATGTGTTAGTTTGAAAATATTTTAACAGATCTGGCTATCGGTATACGGCAATAATATATATATATATATCCTTAGACAACTATTAAAGAACAGAAATACAGAGTGTTTATATGGTACTTACAGCATAGTGTTGCCAGTGCCCTGATATTTCCCACAACTTGCTGTTATAAATGTTGGGGGACATGACCTCTGTAAACCCTCTCTGCCAGTATTCCTTCTGTACAAATAAAAAGACAAAGAAAAAAAAAAAAAATTTCTTTATGTAAAGATATGTTACACGTCTGAGAAATATGGAAAGAGATAAAGCATTGTATACGTTAGAACATCTAGACCGGGAAGCAGTGTGTTTAATGAATCATCCGTCTTTTTTAATGTATTTGTTGACTATCATTGTCCCTGTGTGGGTTCCGAGGCCCCGTTGTGGGGAAAATAAGATGAGACCCACTGCCTCCCCAACAAGACTGTTGTTGTGGTAAGAATGTTGTAAGAGTAAACTAGCTGAGGCATTCCTTCTAAGTCAGAGTGCATCTGCCTGAGAGCAAAGAACCGACAGTCTGCATACAGTTAAGTCAGATCTGTAAAATGGATGTGCACTCAACACTCAGGATCTGGAACAAGACTAAACTGCAGAGGTGGACAAACACCAGAACTTTCTGCCAGAGTGTACAGCTGGTAAAGGTGGAGAAGAAGAATATCATCCTTTTGTGCCTTGCCAAAAAAGAAGGAGATTGACATCTCGCCACAGATCTGTTCCAATTATTACTGTGTTCTCCTGGGCCTCTTTTCTTATCTCTTAACCAAAGATTAATATCTGTCTTCTTCTGATAGTCGCATAAATTGCTCTACTTGCATTAGTTTTTTCCAGGTAATCACTGTCCAAGATACTTGCAAGATTTGTCTCAGAAACCTTATACTGCCCCTAAGACCTTTCTAGTATGTTCAGTAACATCTCAAGATTCTGTGACTTAACAGTAGAACTGGTTCTCTACAACATTTTAGCAGTCTTCCAACATTCAACAGAAGTGACTTATTGTACAATACAGTTTTCAGCCTTTGAAATGCTGATTTTTCCTGACCTTTCTCATAATCTCTCCGTCCCACATCTGCTATCAAATGTTTTGACTGAAAGTAAATATTTGGTGAAGCCTAGTGTTGAAAATGTCTCTGTTAAACATACTGTTTCTAGATGTTCATCACCATTATATTACTATTGTGATTCATTTGTTTCATATCTGCACAGAAAATGTGAACTAGTCTACGCCTACCATTGACTTACAGCATATAAAACATCTAATGACACCTCATTTTACTAATTGCATACACCAACATACCTTAATAAAATCAACCAAAGTATTATATATATGGGCACCTCTTGGCATGAAAAAACAACTTCCAGGGCTCAGTTCGTGGAAGAAAAATAGTTCCTGGTCCTGTTAACAAAGCAGTAACAATAAAGACATAATCATTCTTCATGCATACAAAAATAAATTGAGCCATGCATCTTCCCATGGGGATCAAGCAACATACATCATGTTATTCTATAATTTACATTTGGTGTGTATACATACTAGATATTTCATAGAATTCTTCTTCTGCCTTTCATGTCTCAGAGTCAGCTGGTGAATCTAGTGCGCATGAAGAACGCAGTTATGTGAGTCATTTTTAGGGGGCTGCGTTAGCACAGTCGATAGGAGGGTCGCTTTCAAATCCAACTAGCTGCAGCCCAGGGCCGGTAATCGAAACCGGGCGGTTCCACGGGGGTTCACAGAGCTTCTAGGCAATAGGTACCAGAGTTAACACTCTGGGGTAAATGGAGGAACGTCGCTATAGCTAGGGAGTTGCGTGCGGACGGCTACGCAGGCGGACAGTTTCTTATCAGCTGTCTGTACTGGTGGCAGAGCACTTATGGTTTATAACCGTGTGCAATGATGCTGGTTCACATCTCCCGACTTTGTTTATTTGTTTGTACCAGAGACATCTTGTAGTGTGTATGCTTTCTTAGTTTGCCGACTGTTGCATACAAGCTCAAGGGGCTGCAGGCGAAGTCATACCTCAGAGTAGTCTATACAGATGGGTCCGGACAAAGTTCAGTTAGAAATGGTGGTGCTGGAGTGTACATAGAATTCCCAGATGGTACTAGGGATAAGTCCAGCGTACCAACCAGTAAGTACTGCCATAACTATGATGCAGAAACTCAAGCTATCAAGACAGCAACAGAGAAACTGCTAAATACAAATCTTGGCTCACAGTATGTCATAATGCTGACAGATGCTAAATCCGTACTTGAAGCACTCCAGTCTAGGAAACTACCATTATTGCAAACACTGCTGACACAACTCAGCCTTCAGCGAAGTCGTAATGCAGTGGATACCGTCTCATTGAAAAGTGCCTGGAAATGAGAAAGCTGATCAACTGGCAGGGTAAGGTGCAACAAAAGTGCAGCCAGATGTACCAGTCACATACCACCAAAAGAAATGAATCATTAAATCGATCAGGAAACCACCAGCCTCAGCACAGGACAACTATTTTATTATGGATAGACCAGAACAAGTCATTATCCTCCGCCTCAGAACAGGGCAAAACCGATTACGTAACCACATGTACACAAAATTCAAGATAGGTGTATCAGCCATGTGCACCTGTGGAAATGTGCCCCAGACAGCAGAGCACGTACTCCAGGACTGCACCGAATTTGACACATTAAGGCAAACCTTTTGGCCAGAAAGAACAACAGTGGAACGTAAACTCTATGGACCACAGAATGAACTAACAACGATTATGAAATTTATACAAGAGACAAAACTGCTGATATAGACAACTTATTTCAGGCGAACCAAAGAAGAAGAAGAGGATACCTCAGTGTAGTTGTAGACACAGACCATCCTTTGCAGGAAGCGCTGGATATAGTTAAAGGACAGAGGTTGACAAGAGGGAAGTCATGGATGGCACAGGTTGGGGACTTGATCAGACAGGTTTGCATTCTGGAGAACATTAGGCGAAGAGAAGAGTGGGTCGGAGTGCCAGAGGAACAGTCAGACTTGTGTAGAGCCATAATGACACTGAGCAGGGAGAGCAGGGAGTCGATAGAAGGTGGAGATTCTGCAATTAATTCAGGATAATGATCGCTCTGGTGATGTGATTTTTTTATACAGATGATTCAGTATCAAGAGACAAAAGAAGTGCCTGGGGGTTAACAACACAAGCTTAATGTCTGCGTGTGGTGCAGGAGAGCCTAGCATATGATACCACAATATCTAGCTTAAGGATACAGGTGAAAGCAGTCACAGAATGCGATACACACATACATCATGACTGTAACTGACTCAGAAAGCATGCTGAGGAAGGTGAGGATAGGCAATGCCTCGTGAAGAGTGGCATGCTTCATATTTGAAGGTCACAAGTGAAGAGCATCATCTGGATCTTTTATCCAAGGGATGCCAGTGCACTGGGAAATGAACAAGCAGGTAGTCTGGCTCCTCTGTATAACTTGGTGGAATACTGATGCATGATCAGGCAGATGTGGTTAAGGCATCCTTTTCCACACCATTAGGCGTATTGGTCATATAATGCTAAACCTATATTTTATAAATCAATTGGCACTCGGTGGGTTGTGTGGTCAACATCACACCGGCCGTCTTTACCTCCCAGGACTTTATGTGGTACCCATTTCAGGTCAGGTCGACCTGAAAGCCAACGTAATTTTTGAAAAAAATGCGGCAGCTTTATCTCTGAGGGCCTCAAAGGATAAATTGTTTGTTTTGTGCTCTGAAAGTCATGGGTTTGTTTCACGGACTGCATTATTCAGTTGACAAGTGTAATTCTTGCGGACAGAACTTGACATCTTGTTGCAGCTATAGTGTTCACGATTTGCATGACACTCTTGACAGGCAGCAAGCATTCTGTGGACACAGACAAGCCAAATGGTATAAAATGGGATGCTATGATCCTCTCGACTTAAAACCATTTCAAACATTTAATGTATTCATATTTTTTGTGACAACGGCTGCAGTCAATGACAGGTATAATCACTACCAAGATCAAATGCACTGGTTAAAAAACACCTTCAAAGATGCCTAGAAATTTATCATTTAATTTCCTCCTTTTGGCATTCTAAAAGCAAAAAAATGTTTGTTCAATCTTTAACCGTGATAGATTATTATTTTTCATCCATGAAGTTTTCTTGCAAAATGTAAAAATGGATTTATTTAATTGCAAACATAAATCAACTGGGGAGAAATACAGTCTGTTCATTCAAACTATTTGAAAGTGGGTGCTAAATAGAAACAGCAAAACATGACCCTTACCTTTCCAATTCTACGATGATCCCTTCTGGCTGCTTCCTCTTGAAGATGCTTCCATTCTTTCAATTGTTTAGGGTCAGGGAAAGAAATACCATACACTCTTTGTAACTTCTCAGACTCAGCATTTCCTTCCCAGTAAGCAGAAGAGTTCTGATAAGAGAGTTAAACTGATTATCTCACATGACACAAGTGAGGATGTTAAACACAAGAAAATGTATTGCTTTTACAGAGTTGCTAACATGATCAAATTTACATTAATTCCAAAGCATTTAAGTCGCTTACATGAGGTTGTTTGCAGAATTTTGTATGCACTTATTACGGTTTTTAACTGTCTGCTATGGTGGCATTGTGGTTAGTACTCTAATATCAAGACAGTGGTCCAGTTCAAACCCCAACAGTGGCAGAACTGTTTTTTTCCAACCTGTATGGCTCTGGGGATTACAAGTCTGTTACGACAAGACAAATAGGTAGCAATTTTTAGTGCCATGGCAAACACAAACAAGGAAATTATAATAGGCATTGGCAAGGCTACAGCAGCTTTTAAAAATCTGAACAAAATACGGAACTCTAAATTATATATTTTTAAAACCAAGTAAAATTTTTTAAGTATCAATCTTATTTCTGTTTTAACATATGTTAGTGAAAGATGGAATACCACTATAGACATGGAACAACAATTGAATGTATTTGAAAACAAATGTCACAGACGATTGATTAATATGAACCATCTCACCCTGAGAACCCAGTTTTTCCCAGCTTTAAACAGATTCTGGTTGACATGATGTTTTCTCACAAGCCTTAGAGGTTATGGACATACAGCATGAACACCAAATACATTTGAGGGCCACATCGTCTGCAAATGCCAGCTCTGATATAGAGATTGGTCTCATCTTCCAGTATCCTACTGAGTAATTCTTTGTCTTCTCCTTACTAGTCTTTCTTCTGTCCACCTAAGTATCCTCTGTCGCCGCCTTCCACTTGGGACTTCACCACAAGCTTCTACTGCAGCTGCTGTAAGGATATTCTTGAATCTGCACCAGAGGGTTTCAGTATCCTCTGAAGGTTCTTCTTCAGTTCCTATTGCTTTCACTATAAGCTCCTGGTCTCTAGCCTTAATATCTGGCTCTCTTAACTTGTATACCTTAATCCTCATCCCTTCTTGGCTGCTTAGTTTCTTGCATGATTGTTGGTGTTGCCTTGTTGGAGCAGTTCTTTCAGTTGTTCTCTTTATTGTGACCAGAGAGTGGTCACTTCCAAACTCTGGCATCTCTCACAAACTTGAATGAACTTTTCCCTACTATGGCATAGTCGATGATGGGTTTCTCATTCTTTGAAGGTTCACATCTTGCGTATGAATGTACATGTTTGTGGGGAGACTTTGTAATCTGGTAATCTTATTTTCAGCTTCAAAGCAAACAGGTCACCCCATAGTTGCTCCGCTCCTGTGCCAATGAAAAATACACAGAATGTTTATCACAGTCCCTTGTGGAAAGATTGACAGACTGCTCTCTCAGCATATGCACTAGCATTTTGTGTTTGTATTGACAAGGTTCTGTTCCCTGCAGAATCTGAGAAAACGCTTGCCACTGTACTTCAAAACATCTTCACCATATCTTGCGATCACTCCACCCCATCCAGAGTGATCATTTCTCACTCTGGCATTTAGATCTCCTAGGAGGATAATTTCGTTGTGACAATCATCTATGGTCCTTTGGAGCAGTTCAAAGAAGTCTTCTTTGATATCTACTCACTCACCTTTTCTTTTTTTAATGTAGATAAATACATTTTTTGTAAATGTCTTGGTAACCTGTGTAATGTGGTTGTTTTGTTTTTAAAGGTTTTTTTGTGTGGGAAATTCCTATGGGAACATTGCCTGTAAATATGCTGTTATTAGTGCTATAAGGATTTCACCTGAGATGACCATTGCGAAACCCATAAATCTGGTTGTGCTGAGGATAAGAAAATATTCAGCTGAAGTTGTTTATGATACACAACCAAATCTGTTTTATAATTTCTTTTTAACTGCATCATTACTATTAATCGGAACATGATTAATTCATTTAGTGTTTTATTCAGCACTAAACCAAAATGCAAATCAAATAGTAAACACATCCCTAAATGCAAAGACAAATAAAACAACATACCTTGGTAATGGCAAAGGCTTTTACTTTCCCAGTATGGCGAATATGTGGACCTCGACAAAGATCAATCAGTGAGCCACATCTGTTTTGATCAAAGCATTTGTCCACATTAAAACAATACTACGGAATATTTAAAATCTGGTATACGCTCTACAAATTACATGGTAAATGCTACAGTAACATATACAATTTAAAAATCAATATAATAACCCAATCAAACGTATAATTTTGTTTTCTTAATCTTTTATTATCTGGTAACTCACCATACATGTATCGATTATTCCACACATGGTTACAGGTTCTTAACTTCTTGTCTTTCTTAATTCTTCTTTGCGTTCATCTGCTGTAAACGCCAGCAGAAAATCCTGGTTATTCATCCACTTCTTAACTTTGATGTTCTTTCTTAACTTTGACATCTTGTTCTAGTGCCTGAGTGTTGCATGCACACATGTTTTACAGATCTGGCTTATTAAAGTGCAGACTGTTGGCTCCTTGCCTCACAGGAAAATGCTCTCCGACTTTGAAGGAAACGTTAATCCTATCTATGTTAGCCGGTCTTCTGGTTGGAATCTTATGTAGGACGATTGGGGAGATGTGTAGACAGATACTGACCAGTATAACCCCTAGTCTGGTGCACCATCACATGTGGGATTGCACTTCCTCCCAACTTCTTGTCCAAATGCTCTATAATTCTTCTTCTTCTTGTGACTGCATCATTGATTTACACCGACAGATAAGTTTGTATGATTAAAATGACCCCTTTTTTAGTTCCTAAAAGTTTTGAGATGGTGTCAACTCACTGGGCAAGTATTCCCCTCTTAATGGGCTGTACAAGGGACAGTTCTACAACATTAAACCATTCTATGCATGTTGTTTTTCCTGCAGTCTTATCTGAAAGATTCCTGATGAAAACTATTTTTTCAGTGGAGAAATAATTAAGTAACAACAACTAGGAACTCAAAAAGTTAACAAACATAAAGGCAGAAGGGACACTTAATGAAACATATACACACCTGTAGACAGTGGTAGTTGGGGTCTGTACTTTTTCCTTGATGATCTTTTGTTTAAAATCACTGTACTATTAAAATGAGAAGATAAAGGTGATACAATTTTATTTCTGTTACAAATCATAAATACAACAAAGGTATTAAAACATGCAAAATCAGTGTAGCGTCTTACCACAAGTCTTAGGAAAAGAAATAAAATAATATGCTTGAAATAATATAAAATGTACAAACAAACATGTATAAAGAGAATTTCTATCATTGGTTAAATAGCCATCAAACAACATTATTGGGGAAGGGCTGGGTTCCAAGGGACCTGAGTGTTTTCTCCCATTTCTGTCTAGAAAATTGGGTAAGGTCTCCTACCCCCCCCCCCCTTAAATGTTTTCTTTGTGTCAACACATCTGATATTATTTTTATATATATATAAATATGGTGATCGCCTCTTATTACTTTCTTATTTTTATTAATGATATTATCAGTATGGTGCCGGCTGCCATTACCATTCTGAAAAGTTCCTGGTATCCATGTAGTCTTGGCTGACCTCAGTGCCCACATTATTTCTAACAAATCTGTCTTCAGTAGATGACGATCTAACCTCATGACCATCAGGCCGGCATGTAATCATGTTAGCCACTGCACTGCTAATCAAAATACATTTAAATGCATTCAGTAAAAGACATAATCTGTAACCTGAATCATACAAACAAGAAAACTCACATGATGTGGTTTACAAAAGTTCTGGAATACATTCTTCTTCATCTTCATCGTTTGTCCTAGTGAAGTAAATGTGCTGGTCCATGTTAACAGCATAGCTTTGACATCTGCACTTTTTGATCAGCACATCCAACTTTTCTGGGCATTTATTTTCCAGGTTATCCTTCCTGGTTAGTTTCATGAGTCAGTGAGGGCCATTTTACAGCAATATTTGTGTGGTGGTTTCGTCGTCCTCTGATCCACAGGTGGTGTACAAAGAGGCACTGGCCAGGACAGCCTAGTGCAGACTAGTAGGCCCTCGAGGGAAGGCCGGGGCAGAACATGGGCATTCCCTGCCATCCAATGAGGCTTCCATAAGTGCAGAGCTGATATACGATGCTCTGATAGTGAGCTCACCCAAGAAATCACATGACAGCCGGCATAATGCTGACCACATTACCCACCTAGTGCCGACTGGTCTGTAAAAATAGGGGTGCTCTTCGCATATGCCCGATGCGCCTAAAGATGTGAAAAGGAATCTTTACTTGCTTACATGACTGCTTAACCTCACATCAGTATATCGAGTTCTTCACTCTTTATGGTCAGCATCCATTAAGGTGAAATATGTTCAAGGTTAAGTTTTTGCCTGTATAAGTTGTAACTTCTCATTGTGTAATAAAATATAAGGGAAAAAACTGTAGTACACACACACACACACATATATATATATATTAGGGCTGTACCGAATAGTGATTTTCACTATTCAGCCGAATACGAATAGCTGGACCAACTATTCGGCCGAATACAAATACGAATAGTAAATCATCATCATCAGGTGCTTTGCCGACTGGTGTAGGCGATCATGCCTCTCCACAATCTGCGATCTGTAGCATGTATTAGTTCATGTGCTGACACACCTCCATGCCATGCACCAAGACTGTCAAGAATCTTCTCTCGTTGTCTTCCTCTATCCCTCCTTCCACAGATCTTTCAAGTGGTCACCACATGTTCCACTTTCCCTCTTCTCATAACATGGCTGAAAAATGACGATTGTCTTCTTCTGATGCCTGTGAGTAGTTGTCTTCGGGCTACCGTTTCTTTCAAAACCTCTTGGTTGCTTTTTTTGTTGTTGCTGTCAAGGGTATTTTAAGCATTCTTCTGTAAAACCACATCTCTGAGGCCTCAAGAAATTGTTTGGCCTGTCTACCGATGTCCAGCCATATGTTAAAACTGGATGTATGTAGCAAGTAAGAATTTTTTTTCTAACCTTCAATGACAAAGATATATTGCATAAGATGTTCTTCATTTGATAAAATGCTGATTTTGTCTGGTTTATTCTGTTTCTTATTTCAGTAATGATGTTATCCATTTGCCCAGATACTTACATTTCTGTACTTGTTCCAAAATAAAACCATGGACTTTTATTACACATTTATGAATAATAATTTTTTTCTGATGCCACCATTACGTCTGTCTTCCCACTATTTAAACTGAGGCCCATTCTTCTACTTTCGAATAGTGGTACCTGGTGCACAAATACAACACTTGACAGTAAGAACCAAGGTGGGAAATCTTGACATGTTTATTTTCCACCAGTCAAGAAACGGGTGTAAGGTAACCACTATTCGTATTCGGCCCGACCGCAACTATTCGGCCGAATACCGAATAGTTGTTACGTCCACTATTCGGCCCCGAAGCGAATACAAAGCAAATATTCGGTACAGCCCTAATATATATATATACACACTGTAATAAATCTTGGTCTACTTGAAATGAAGCGTGGTCTGCTTGGAATGAGTCGATGCTACACTTGGAATGAACCTTGACGTAGACCAGCTTTAACATCTAGGGTTGACAACACACACTAACGCTCAGCTTCTTGGTACATTCTGTCAGTTTATTCTCGTCCATTTATTTCACATGTTTAACATTATTCACACTTTATCACTCGCGACATATTCGAACATTAAATATTTGCGCAACATAAAGACGACATCTTCAAATACTACAACCGTCTTCTCTGACTTCTGATGATCGACTGACCACGAGGCTAGCTCGGGCTTCCCCTCGCTTACTCCACCGGCCACAAGTATCTCGTGCCGTGACTTGTAGCACGGACTTCCTGCTTGCCACAATGTACTCGTGGAGACCATGCAAAGCAGGGTCATCACACTCTCCCCCTTTTTTAACAAAATGACACTTTATGGAACATCAAGTGTCATTTTCATTTAACCAGATATAGTAAATCAATTTAATTGTATTCCCACTAGGGATTATGGTTCCTGATTATCCTCAATTACTGCCCTTTAAAACTGCCTTTAATATTTACTGCATGCTTTTCCTAGTACTGAGCTGGTGAAGAGTTTAAACAAATCTTTACACCTATTGCATCTGTAGTATTGTCTAGTCACTATATCTAATCTATCGGGTTTAAAGTGAAATGATGATAGTGATGATGATTGTCAGCTTTGAGATATTTACTACATAGAAAATTGGATTTAACCAATATTTCTACATCACCTTTCACAGGGTATTCATCCCCAAGGACTCTTAGCCGATATGATAGTGGTAAGATATATTTAACATAGTGCTTCTAGTTTCCCAAAAGCTCTATAACACCTTTTACAGGGTAATTACCCAACCCCAAGGAATCTACCACAGAAAAAAAAAAATGCATGTTGAGATATTTTTTCATAGACTAAAAACTCACCTTTCACAGGGTAATTACCCAACCCCAAGGAATCCAACATGAAACAATGATAGTTGAGATATATTTTTCATAGATCTTAGAGTTTCCTCCAAGTCTATAACACCTTTAACAGAGTATTTAACCCCAAGGAATCTCAGACACCTTTCCCCCTTTAGATGGACACAGATGAGTTCAACTCCTCTACTCTGCTTGTGCTTTGATGTGTGCACTCTTTCTTTACCATCAGTATGTCTATTCAGCATCAGTGTAACTAAAGCAGTTTATAATCTTGGGTGTCGTGGACAAATTTACCATGTCCCTGTGCTGTACACCTATGTTAAAACATTTCAAATTGAATTTATCTAAATCATTCTGTGGAAAAAGATTTCTATATGATCTATTGCTAAATCTTGATTTAATTCTTCTGTGCTGTTCCTGGGGAGAGAATTTTTTTTTTTTTTATTTAAACTTTTGAACTATTAACTCTGTTATTACATGAATACTAAACTATTCCTAATGAACTACTAACTCTAAGTTAAATGCATGTACACTATTAAAATACTACCCACAAATCTTTCATTCATCATTCATACCTGTTTTATTCTCTTTCATTCCCATTCATTCCAATAACTATCCTTGATTTTGATCCATCCCTGCAGGCTGTGTGTGTCTTGCTTGTACTCTGGCGCTTGCTTTCAAGGTTGTCATTCCTTGGTTTGCTCAACAGTCTGTTCTGCTCTGGGATCTTTCATGGTAGGATAGCTGGTAATCTTGCAAATATACTGACTAAAAATATTATAATTTTATAAGTTAACAATACTATTAACAGTGTTCAGTGACTGCATACACTGATATGCCACCTTTAAAATAATAATTAGTAATGAAATTAAACGGAAGGTGTTCAATACACACAGTATGTGGCTGCTTTTTATAAATGAAATCAGGTGTTTATGCACTTTTTAAAATACTTCATTAATTTAATATTTAAACAAACACTAGATAATTAACTTGATTAACTTTCACAATTAATATTTGTGTACACACGATGTAATACTGGCATTTTTGTGGCTGTTGATTGTGCTTAAACTGTAGGAATGCTTCATTATTCTCGCATTCTTTATTTTATGATACGTTTGATATTCGACGATCTTGATATTGTATAGATGCTCTTGAAGTGTTGCTTAGAATTTGATGATTTTGAAATGTTTCAATGGTTGATTTTGAGGTATTTGGAGAAAAACAATTTCTTGTTCCTTGATGGTGATCTTGAAATTTGAATAATTCAGTGGCTGATATGTTTCTGTTCATTCACTGTACAGTACTGGTTGGTGATTTTTTTGAATGAATGAAATATGATAATCTTGAAGATGAAAACTGCCAAAATGTCAATTCTTGATGATTGTTCAGGTTTACTCTCGATTATTTGGTTGAAATAAGACAATCTTGAAGATGAAGAATGATAAAATATCAATTCTTGATTGTTCAGGTTTACTCTTGATTGTTTGGTTTAAGGTGGTACTATGTAGCTTCTTGACTGATAATAATCTTGACTATGAAGAATGGTAAAATGTCAATTCTTGATGATTGTTTAGGTTTACTCTTGGTCATATGGTTGCCGGTGGTTCTATGTAGTTTCTTGACTGATAATATTGAGATTCATGTATGGTGATATGTTTGATGTTGATATTCAGGATGATGGACTGTATGGTTTCAAGTTAGTAAATAGTAATACTTCAGTTGATGGTGATTTTCCTTATTTCAGCTGTTCTTATTTTTGTTGATGGAGATGACTTTGTTCCCAGACTCGTATGTCTTCATCAGAACAGTCTCTAATGTTGAAGTCTTTGTATCCCAGAATCACATCTGTTCCGATGTTGTCCGTTACCACTACTTTCAATGGTCTTGATATATAGGGCGACTTCAAATAAATATAAGCTGTCCAAAATCGCATACAAAAACCTTCTCTGTCTAAACAGTAAACCATTTCTCCGCTATAATCTGATTTTTCTAAAACATTTTCATGTACGAAAGTGATATTTGATTTTCTATTTAATTGCATTTGTGCTGGTTTCTTGTTTATCAAACATTTAGTTGACTTTTCCCAATATTTCTGACTTGTTGCTCTGTGGAATTGATCATAATCTATATATTTATTGCCCTCTAATAATGAAAATTCTTTATTCATGGCTTGTTTATCTATTAGTATTTTACAGTCTGATTTTTTCACACATTGAGTTGCTTTTGTCTCGACTGATGTCATTGTTGGAATAGTGATATCCTTTACTTGATTAATTTTCATTGTTTCTGATTTTGACTTTTTATCTGTTTCAGTGGCTGCTGTCTTTTTCGTTTCAACTTTCTTGTTTGTATTACTACTTTTGCTGGATTCTAGCTCTGCAATCACAATTTCGTTCTTTATCTTTTTAGTTCCTGGACATTTCAATTGGCTTTTTCCTTTAAACATGATATGTGGAGCTGTAACTTTTCCTTGATTCTTTCTCCAGTAGCACAGTGAACAATCTAGAGTAGGAATACCTTCTGAATCCATTGTAACTGAATTAGTTTTTGCAAACAAGGATCTTTTCTTGTCTTTTAACATCTGTTTCCCAACACAGTGTTTTACAATATGTCCGAATGCTTTACAGAAGTGGCACTTTTTAAGGTTTTTCTTTTGTTTATTTTGCCACTTTTTATTTACCAAGTCTTCAATATAACTTGAATATTTAGGATCTCTGTCGCAGATAGTCGAAGAACTGTGCTGGTACTTACAAAAAATGCACATCTTGATCTTCTGGTTACTTATCGATGTATCTTTCATTGTTGTCGCTGAAGATACTTGCGACATAGTGTTCTTACTTTTTATCAACCGTTTAGATGCCATTCTGATAAACGCACATTGATGTTAAAATGTCACTGTGGTTATAAAGCTTAACGTAACTTTTGTTCCCAAACGTAGTTCATAGTTTGCTGGTTTCCGCGAAACAATAATCGTCACAAATCTGATTTAATTCACAAACTTGATTTATAATATTTACGATATGTACCTTTGGTAAACATGAAACTTCCTGAATCCGCAAAACTTAGTGATACGGTGTGTGGCAGGGCGTAGATGACACACCGGTTTTCATTGGTCGGTAGCTGACCTGTCGGCGCTTGCTGTGTTAATTATAGGCTCTGCTCGGGTGAAGTACACTGTTTTCCGCATGTTTATCTTACCTTGGAAGAAACAAAAATGTTTTCCTATGCTTATGGTCCGCGTGGTTTCTAATTTCCTTTGGACAAGCACCCCACTTGTAATAAATCTTGGTCTACTTGAAATGAAGCGTGGTCTGCTTGGAATGAGTCGATGCTACACTTGGAATGAACCTTGACGTAGACCAGCTTTAACATCTAGGGTTGACAACACACACTAACGCTCAGCTTCTTGGTACATTCTGTCAGTTTATTCTCGTCCATTTATTTCACATGTTTAACATTATTCACACTTTATCACTCGCGACATATTCGAACATTAAACATTTGCGCAACATAAAGACGACATCTTCAAATACTACAACCGTCTTCTCTGACTTCTGATGATCGACTGACCACGAGGCTAGCTCGGGCTTCCCCTCGCTTACTCCACCGGCCACAAGTATCTCGTGCCGTGACTTGTAGCACGGACTTCCTGCTTGCCACAATGTACTCGTGGAGACCATGCAAAGCAGGGTCATCACACACACACACAAAAACCAGCTGTCACACTTAAAACAGCAATTACCTCAAACATTTGTAGAAGATCTGCTTTTGTCACTTCCAATCTCTCAAATGGCTGCTTACAATTGGTTATATTTTTCACTAGGGATTCTAAATTTGGCAACTCCAAACTTGAAACAGTTCTGTGAAATATAAAAATAAGACAGTTCAGATTTTAAGGTTTTTCCCCTGTAAAATTATACCAATAAATTCACCATGTAGTGATATTTAAAATGTTTTTGTCAACTTACATTATTAAAAATAATCAGCAAGACAAGAATAAATTTACTTTGCATCAAAGTGAATACAAAATAATGTAATAAAATACAAATGTCAGCATTCGTGTAACTTCATGGATAACCATCCTCACCATGTGGGTTCTGGGGCCCCCATTCTGGGCACACACAAAAAAGACCTGCTGGTTCCCTTACAAGCATATCCTAAAAATGACCAATCAGGTAGTTTTCTTTTGAAGTTGAAGTGCATATGACAAAGTGGCAAGTAATCAAAAGTCTGCAAACAAGTAATGAGATCTTTAAAACAGATGTGCATACAAAAATGCAGCTTTGAACACGATGAAGTCCCCATGTGGACGAACAACTAGAACTTTCCACCTGAGTTTATAGCCGACAAACGAAAAAAAAAAAAAAAAGAAGAACAGGGATAACCATCCCTTCTTCTTATAGTCAATGCCATGCAATGTTGTTCAGTCTACAGGTAGTCTGACTATGGAGGTGAAGGCAGTAAAATAAAAGCAATGATATGGCTAGAGACAATTTTTCTCCATTCATGTTTTTTAAGTGATTCCATGAGCATGCTTAAGAAGATCAAGAAAGATGGGTTCAAAGAGAATGATTAGAGTCTCTGAGGAAATCTTATCTGATAAGAATCAGTTTAATTTTTTTTGCCAGAGTGCTCTAAAGTAAGAGAGAATGAGCTAGGTGGTAAGGCCTCAGTAGATGCAGGACAAGCAATAGACTCAGCTGATGCACTCAGTTACTAAAGGAGGTAGGACAAGTAGTTGATTCAGGAGACGACAGTGAAATGACAACATTACAAAGGAATATACTGAAGATGGGATCCAAATGCTTATGGACTTGTGACTGACTGATCAATATATTCATTCATTTGACTTGGATGTTAATACCATGTTGTACATACCACTAAAAACATTCGTTGTTGTTGCTGCAAATATGATATACTGCACTGTCACATGTTAAAGCATTTACAGAGAATTCAATGTGTCAATGACAAACTGAGGTAAAGACCTAACATACTGCTGAACTTACTCGGGAGTCCACATATCATAGTAGAATCCTTCTTCAATTGGAGGGCCATAACATAAATGACCACCATAATATTGCTCCATAGCTTCACCTAGTATATGAGCACTGGAATGCCAAAATACATATTTTCCTGCAAATAAAAAACAAATAAAAACACTTGAGCCAGTGAATTTTAAAAGTGGGTCTGGCAATTACTGAAATTAATATGAGGTGAGAGATTATGTGTGTGCATGCATCAGGTGTCTACATATATAGACAACATAAGGTGAATTCTGTAACAGAGGTGCAGACACTTCACGATTTCGAACAACACCATGAAAACTGGCATTATTCCTGATGAGTGGCTTCACAGCTACCTCAGACCGGTTCCTAAGCCAGGAAAAGACCACACGAGAATAAATGGCTACAGCACACTATTGGAAAACTCTTGGAAAAAAATTGCCAGAACGTTGACCCAAACATTGGAGTCAGGTGGTCTATTCCCCGCTACACTAGGTGGGTACCGACCAGGAAGAGATACATGGTGCAATGCTGCAGTATTTGCCTACGACACATATGACGGTTTCCAGGAGGGAATGGAAACGGCTGCAGCCACTATTGACTTAGAAGATGCATTAAACAGAGTCCCATACAACATGCTCATCAGACTGCTGTTGGATATGCAGATAGAAACAAAATTGGTCAACTGGATCGCAGCAGAGCTTTTTTGAAAGAACAGTGTTGCTTTGATGTGGTGAATGGGCATCCGAACCTCAACGCGTCCTAATGGGTCTGCCCCAGGGATCACCATTGTCTCCTGTGCTCTTCAATGTGTACACAGCAGGAGTCACGAGTGCACAAAGCGTAGGCCTAGGCAGAACAATGTCGTATGCAGAGGGTATCCTTGTTTACAGTCGAGGTAAAAACAGGCAGGAAATTACAACCACACTACAACACGAACTAGACAGACTTAGTGATTGGTGCCAGGAATCAAGAGCTCAGGTGAACCCGTCCAAAGCCTCCTTAACATGTTTCTCTCTGAATACCCACATCGTCAGTACACCAACGCCAGTCGTAAGCATCTGTGGTGTGGACATCGAGAGAACGGACACGATGAAATACCTGGGCATGACATTTGACAGATGCTTGTCACACAAATGCCACGTAGACAACATCATACTTAGAGCCAGGAAAGGTCTGACAGACTCAAGGTGCTAGCAGCAGTTGATATTGAACAACGCCTACTTTTCCTTCTCTATCAAGGGCTTGTGCTTAGCGTCATTGACTATGGTCTTGCCCTCCTCACTGTCAGCAAAACCCAGCTAGAAAGACTGGACCGAGTACAAAATGAGGCCATAAGATTCATACTCAGCTGCAAAAAAGACACCTCCTGCAACACCATGCGTTATGTCCTGGGTTTGCCGACGATGACTAGCAGATACAAAGAGGCACAGGTCAAGGCGTACATTAGGGTATCGGCAGATGTTAACCACCTATTGTACAAAGCTATACACGACTGTTACACGCTGATTTGGGTAAAGTGTGATAGTGTGTGAAGGGACAGTGGTATGCCAGTATTTTCTGTAAATTCACGGGGGGAATAGTGTTGGACTGTGAAAAGCCTAGAACTTGGTTCATCAGCTGCTCGTTTCATTGTGAATTTTTGGAAAGTCATTCTCTTCACTACTTAACCAACAATGTACACCTGAAGAGCTATCTTTTGATCTCTGGGACTCCGAATTATTGACACTCAATGTGTCAACATCCATCCCGAACCTGGGAAACAAAGATGCTGAGCCCGCTTTAGTGAAGAAAGCACTCACAATGGTACACCTCAACAACATGTTCCCACAGGACAGCTGGACGAGAATCTACACGGATGGATCAGCAAAAGAGGCAACTACGAATGGTGGGGCAGGTGTTTACATAAAACACCCAGATGCCACTACTGTGTCCCTAGCAGCCCCCACCGGACGAACTTGCTCTAACTACAAGGCAGAGCTCTCAGCCCTTTTGATGGCAGCGCAGTATATGAACAATCTGCAAATTACCGCAGGCAGGATAGTTTTTCTGACTGACTCACTGTCAGCTATACAGGCCCTAGAGTCCAAACCTACCGACAGCACACTACAAAGTCTAACACAGGAACTTGCTATGTTGTCAAATAAGGCAGAAATTCACTTGCAGTGGATTACGTCTCACTGTGGCATCAAAGGCAATGAAAGCGCAGATGCTTTAGCCAAGGAAGGCAGTAACAAACCACAGACCTACCAGCCACTATCTTTTCTAGAAGTCAAATCTCTCATTAAGAGAAAATCAGAAACAGATTGGAAAACCAACACTGGTTATAACTACGGAAAAGATTTCCTGAAACACTTGAACAGAACAGACCAAGTCACAGTTTTTCGCTTACGCACTGGACACTGCAGACTCAATAAACACTCACATAAATTAGGTATGAGCCAAACAGCTCTCTGCCAGTGCCTTCGTGCTGAACAGACTCCAGAACATGTCCTGCAAGACTGTCCTCTCCTGGCGGAGCTGCGGGGCGACATATGGCAACACCCAGTAGAACTGACAACTAAGCTTTGGGGAAACCTAAGAGACCTTGAAAAGACATCCCAGTTTATGACCCACAGTAGATTATGCGCATGACCAGAGATCGCTGAAGAAGATTGTGAATTTTCATAATTTTTCCACGTAAAACACAAATATAATCTGCGCATGCGGGCAGACATTTGCAATGTCTAACAAAGAGGATTGATAACGACTGGGTGGTTATTTTTAGTCCGTGACGCATCATTTTCCTGTACTACGCAAAAAAACCGAAAATTAGGGCCAGCGGTATAGAGACTGGTTAAGAAATTCCCGGTAAACCAGGCCAGCGGTCTGGTAGGGTTAAGAAGTTTAAGACAGGCTGGGTTCAAAGGCAACTGATGAAATCTTGTCTGCCAGGAATCAGTTTCTTGTTGTGTGCCCAGGACATTCTTGAGTATGAGGGGATGAACAAGCAGACTAGTTTGCTGGCAGAGCCACGATAATCACAGGAAAAGCAATGGACAAGGCCAATGCTCTCAAGGAGGCAAGACGAAAAAATAATTCAGGAATAACAGCAAATCTGTAACACTGAAAAGACTACAAGAACTACTTGTCAAAAGAGGTGTTGCCAGATATGAACACCAAACAGATAGCCATAGCATAATAGTAACCCAACACAGAAAGGGTGTTTTCCATCACCACGTGCTGAGGATGGGATCTAAGTGCTTAGGGACTTGTGTGATATGCTATGAGGGTGACTGGTCAATACTAGCTAACATAACGTTAACTTCACATGCAGACATTTTGTTTTTCCTTTTTCAGTTTTTCATCTCCAGGACTGCAGCCTGAAAGATCTGCACTCAAGGACACGGAATAAACCAACCAGGAGCAAACCCCAAAACCACGATTAACCGCATAGTACTAGAGCACACTACAAATACAAAGTACCCTGCTGTCTAATGCTCTTCCCCCCCCCCCCCATTAGACAGCGGGGTACTTTGTATTTATAAGGGGAGGGGGGGGGGGGGGGGGGGGGTCTACACAAATGTTGAAAAAGATATACAAAACATTACAGACTGTGACTCCAGGCCAAAACATCACCACATTTAAATGTTAAGAATATTATCAAATATACCTGAAAGAATGTTAAGGCAATTCTATATGTCAGTATTATTGGCCGACAAATCTGCATATAATAAACTGTCACATTGGTATCACACTACTGAATATAAACTGTCACACTGTACTAATATAAAACTAATCAGAATAAACTGTCACACTGTTATCACACTACTGAATATAAACTGTCACACTGGTATCACACTACTGAATATAAACTGTTACACTGTACTAATATAAAATTAATCAGAATAAACTGTCACACTGGTATCACACTACTGAATATAAACTGTCACACTGTACTAATATAAAACTAATCAGAATAAACTGTCACACTGTTATCACACTACTCAATATAAACTGTCACACTGTACTAATATAAAACTAATCAGAATAAACTGTCACACTGGTATCACACTACTCAATATAAACTGTCAACCAGATATCACACTACTCAATATAAACTGTCACACTGACATCCATCACACTACTCAATATAAACTGTCACACTGATATCACACTACTCAATATAAACTGTCACACTGACATCACACTACTCAATATAAACTGTTACACTGATATCACACTACTCAAAATAAACTGTTACACTGATATCACACTACTCAATATAAACTGTCACACTGACATCACACTACTCAATATAAACTGTCACACTGATATCACACTACTCAATATAAACTGTTACACTGACATCCATCACACTACTCAATATAAACTGTTACACTGATATCACACTACTCAATATAAACTGTCACACTGATATCACACTACTCAATATAAACTGTCACACTGATATCACACTACTCAATATAAACTGTCACACTGACATCACACTACTCAATATAAACTGTTACACTGATATCACACTACTCAATATAAACTGTCACACTGATATCACACTACTCAATATAAACTGTACACTGATATCACACTACTCAATATAAACTGTCACACTGACATCCATCACACTACTCAATATAAACTGTCACACTGATATCACACTACTCAATATAAACTGTCACACTGACATCCATCACACTACTCAATATAAACTGTCACACTGACATTCATCACACTACTCAATATAAACTGTCACACTGACATCCATCACACTACTCAATATAAACTGTTACACTGATATCACACTACTCAATATAAACTGCATTAAAAACCATTTATGCTGTTTCCACAATAGGTTAGCAGCAATGTATCCACTGCTATAACTAGGAATATTACATGAGGAGACCTCAATCTCTTGTACAGTGTGACTCTCCATCATCTGTTTAAAAGCCACGAGGACAGTCTTTTTTGTGTGTCCGACCAGCCACCACAAAAACTTAACCACTGTATATTGAGTATTCAAAAATGTGTTTAATAACTTCTAAGCTGAAGAGTCTCTCATAAATTGCAATCATACATTCATAGGTTCTTACCTAGAAGCCTAGTGAATGCAAGTTGATTCGATTATATTCTCTCTTTATTTCCCTCTGATGATAAACCGCCTGGGACTGAAAGAGTTGAGCTTTATGGAAAGAATGTTCATTTTCTTCTTCTTAGCATTCACCAGTTGTAAAATCTTATGGAAAGTTTTGGTTGTTCATTTATTCCTGAAATTTAATCTTAACCCAAACTTGAGTTTTGCATACACATCCATTTTACAGATCTGGCTTATTTGTATGCAAACTTTTTGTTCGCTGTCTCTAAGGCAGATGCACTCCGCCTCTGAAAAAACCCACCTAATTAGTCAGCTTTTACACCATGCTTGTTGCTGGGAGGTGGGGGGGGGGGGGAGTGGACCTAGTCGTTGTACTTAAAACTGGAGTCTTGGAACTCACATTGAGAATGAAAGGGATAGTTTGCATCCAACATCTGATGGGCAACACTGGCTAGTGTCACTCTGTGTGGATGTAGGTTGTCTTTAATGGCATCCATCAATCTTCTCCTTTGGCACCCACTTGTTTTCACATCTAATGTTTTTAGATGTGGCTCATTTATTGGTAGTTGTTGCAGCTTCATTCTAGTAAGATGATAGTACTATTTGATCTTCTGCTTTTCTATGAATGTTGTGCAATGTATTGTTCCTGCAGCCTTCTAATAGCATTATTTCTTACTCGGCCTCAGAGTTAAGCTGGTGGCTTTCCTCAAGCATCTCATCTCATCACATGGGTATTACAGAACCAAATGAAAAAGACAAGAAAAACTAATTTTGTACCATCACTTTATCAACTGCATTGACCTTGTTCTGCTTGCTGTACTAATGCTTTTATTTGTCCATTCTTGACAGCCTACAAATTGCATATTTTAACCAGTTTAAATTGACATACCTTCAGGATCATCAAATTTGAACAACTGAAGTGAAGAATCCTTTTCAAACGGCCGATCAAGGTCCCATAATACTCCATTAACTTTTGCTACAACAGCACTGTCAGCAAGCCCTTGGCTATGACAAAATGTACATGATAAAAAGACATAACTTATAAACCCAAACATGCTTCTGAAAGTACTGTATGTAGCTGTAAGACACCTGCAATCATACAATATTTTTCCTTTATGCGTTCCATGGCCCCAGTTGGGGGGGGGGGGGGGGGGGGGGGGGGGGGGGGGGGGGGGGGGTTTGAACTGTCAAACGGCTCCCCTAAAGGGTGGGGTGGGAGGGGGGGGGGGGGGAAAGAACTGTTCCACTGCTCCCCTAATGGGTGGGTGGGGGAGGGGGAATAGAACTCTCCCACTGCTCTGTAACAAGTCCTAAAAGGTGACTTATTATGAGTCTGTTGAAACTGGAAGTGTTGGTGGACAGCTGCAGATATCACAGCCTAACTATATACTACAATGTGCCAACCATCCTTTTAATGGTAAACGCAGATAAAGAAGAATACACTACTTTTACACTACCTGAAAAAGATACACTATCAACACTTTTAATTACAAATGCAACAAAACTGTGTTTCAAAAAGTCAGTTTACATTTGTTTTTTGTTTTTCAAAATACAAAAGTATAATAACTTTATCTAATTTTGTACACAAGCAAAATGATTTTTTTTTAAATATCCAAAGACTGAGGTAATGACAATGTTTATATTTAGGTAGATTCACTATCAACACTTTTAATTACAAATGCAACAAAACTGTGTTTCAAAAAGTCAGTTTACATTTGTTTTTTTGTTTTTCAAAATACAAAAGTATAATAATCTAATTTTGTACACAAGCAAAATGATTTTTTTTTTAAATATCCAAAGACTGAGGTAATGACAATGTTTATATTTAGGTATAGATAATTAGGTAGTATTCAGACATATATAATAAGATAAACTTCTCTTCTTCTTCTAAGTGTTTCCTAGCTGCTGTAGAGAGTACTGGTTGTTTATTCCAAAAATTAAGTGTTGTGTGCACAACAGATCAGCCATAAATCTGGCTTATCTGTATGCAGACTGTTGGTTCTTCACGTCTTAGGCAGATGCTTTGGAGGAAACACTTCTAATTAGATAACTTTTACAATATTTGTGTTCGAGGAAGGGGCAATGAATTCTTCACCACCATATACCTTAAAAATGGGGCTCCAGTGGCAAAGCCACTCCCACTCAACTTCCCATCCAACAGAAAGCTAATTTAATGAATAAAGTCTATTAATGATACTTTTTTTTAAAATATCATTCTGCAACATTACATTGCTTTCTTTTGCTTACCTGATGCCTGCTGCAATCTCAAAGGGAGTGGTTCTCCATGCCTGGCCATTCTTTACAGTCCCATCTGGCAAACTGACTTTAATTGGAACCTGGTTCTGCTGCGCTATCCAATCATCCTTTTCCTGTTTTAACTTATCCCATAGCTTCTGTCTTTTCTCTATGAAATCAGGTAGTAGGCGAGACTGAAAACATTTTCAAGACATTTTTAGACCCACAATAAAGTTAGTTGGGCATCCTTTATAGGATGTTGCAGAACTAACCCCAACATTTTCTGGCTGTTGTGGTTTTTCTAGGCAAATCTTACGTTTATTAGTTTGCCACTGCTTTCTGAACAATCTCAGTACACTGTCGAAACCAATGCAAAACAAATCGCCCTTAGCTGGGAACAAACCCGGCACCACGGCATTACAATACGAAGCGCGGTCGCAACACCTAAGCCACAAACCCGACAGAAACACAATAGTGAAAAAAGTGTTCATTAGTCAAGTGATTAGAATAGCTACCAGAAAACATGTATAATTTGGGGGCGGGGGGGGGGGGGGGGGGGGGGGGGGGGGGGGGGGGGGGGGGGGGGTTAGCTGAGTCGATAGGAGACTCACTTTCAAATCCAGCTGGGACTCGCTGCAGCCCACGGCCAGTGTTCAAAACCGGGCAGTTCCCGGGTTCACCCAGCCTCTAGGAAATGGGTACCAGAGTTAACACTCTGGGGTAAATGGAGGAACGTCGCTGTAGCTACGGAGTTCCGTGCGGGCGGCGACACAGGCAGATAGTTTCTCATCAGCTGTCCGTACTGGTGGCAGAGCACTTATGGTTTATAACTGTGTGCTATGACGCTGGTTCATGTCTCCCAACTTTACCTTTATCTTTACTTTACGAATAACTGGGAAGATCAGCTACAGAAGTGGCAGACAGACAGATCTGAAGCTCGATGGTCAAAGGTAGTTAACTCTACCAGACCGCTGGCCCGCTTTTACGGGAATTTTCTAACCTGCCACTAAACCGCTGTCCCTCAATGTCGGGAATTTGCATACTATAAGAAAACAATGCATCACAAACTAAAAATAACTAGCTAATCGTAATCAGTTCTCGTGGATAGTCTTCCTAGATGTCAGCCCGCATATATTTGGATAATATTTGTGTTGTTTTACGTGAAAAAATGCTGAAAATTCACAATAAAAAGAGTATTTGATGAACCAAGCACTTCAACAGTCTCTACCTGCATCAGCAAGAGAGAAATAGTCCCTCAGGCATAGAAGGAAACTATACTTATACCAGTCTGAAGAAAGGTAAAGACCCGTTAGAATCAAATGCATATTGACCACTCAGCTTACTTAACTGTGTAGGAAAATTGATGGGAACACATTATAAACAACAGATTAATGGGGCTTCTAGAAGAAAAGCACCTACTAACTCCTTAACAGGCAGGATTTAGAAAGTACAGATCCACTGAAGACAAAATAACATGTATAGCCCAGGAAACAGAGGATGCCTTCCAAAATAAAACATACACACTGGCAGTGTGGGTTGACTTCAAAAAAGCATTTGATAAAGTAAGGAAGAAGGGACTGATAGTAAAACTACAAAAAAAAAAAAATGCTGAAAATTCACAATAAAGAGTATTTGATGAACCAAGCACTTCAACAGGAAAGTGAAGTAGGTCTAGGCTTTTCACGGTCCACCAGGTGATCGATACTTTGGTTTATTCAGAATCTGCAGAGTCGTAATTTCATGAAGAATACATTCCCAGTTGAAGTGACACAGTCAGTGAGAGCTGGAATGATGAGGAGAATCTTGAAAATTATAAATCTAGAAATAGATCGAAAGTAGGAAAAGGGGGTGTGTCCATCAAACAGCAACATCTGGTGTTCACTTTCTGAAACAAGGTTGATCCTGCTGGGTGGTTTAGCACACAAAGGTGGAATATTGGCGCTAAATATAAGGTTAGCCTATTTTCTACTGTGTCTCCAAGTTTTATTTTATTCTAGCCACTTGTTTGCATGTAACTACTATTTTTGTATATCATATTGGTTTTTTCGCGTTAATGCCCAGAAGCTCAGGTATAGGAGGCAGTTAGGTTCAGGGCCTGAGGTCTGGTAGGGTTAAGAGAGTAAAGGACCCTTTTCATGTCAGTAATACATTGGGCACATAATGCTTGACTCATAGTTTTATAGACCAATTGGCACTCAATGGGTACTGTGGTCAACATCATGTTGCTGCCTTAACTTCCTATGACATTTCCTTGCACCCATTTTAAGCTGAGTTGACCTGGATGCCAGGATCAATAATAAAACAAAAATCTGACCAGCGCAGTTTTGAACCCAAGACAGCTAGACTGACAGGCAAGCCACCGAGACATTTTATAGTCTTAAACTATCAACAAATAAGATCCTAACAGAACTTTGGATTCGATTGAAAAAAAAACATATTTATATATATATATACGTATATGTGTGTGTGTGCACACACACATAAATATATATATTTATATATTTATGTGTGTGTATGCGCGCGAACACCCACATGAGTGTACACACACACATAAATATATATATATATATATATATATATATATATATATATATATATATATATATATATATATATATATATATATATATATATACACACACACACACACACACACACACATACTAAATATAAAGCAGAGCCAAATAACACATGTAATGCTTGTTCTGTTCCAAACATCTTACCTCCAACAGTCCATTATCAGCTTTTGTTGCAGCTGTTTTAATTTTATTAGCAGCATTCTGCTGGGAAGTGACAAATAATTGAGGAATTAAATGTATGCATGTGGATAGCCACATCACAATTATTGAAAATAAAACTCAGAATTTTTTTACTTTATCCTCAGAATAACAAACTAAACAAAAAAAAATACTGCATGTTGCAATAACTGGTAAGATGATGAAGGAAAACACAAGAAGATTGAGCCGTTATGAAAGAAAAGATAGAGTGAAGGATGGAGACCAATCCAGTAACGTTAGCCTCTTTCATCAACATCTGCTTTAGGGTTTCTCTTGAAGGTTTTCATTTCTTAAATCCATTTGTTTCAGTGCCTGTTTAGGCGATTCTCGTTTTTACTTTCCCTTGGGGTGTGCCCAAAATCTTACCATCCTCTTCGTCTTTTAACTGATAATACAAATGGTCATCCAGACATTTCTCTTAGTTTTTTGTCTACCTTTCTTCAATTCATCCTGTTTAATGTTAATCAATTACTTAAGGCTCTTTTTTAATGCATTTAACTTTTGTTCTATGAATGATAATAATTTACATAGGTAACTGTGTGGCAAGTATTCTAAAGATGTGCCTACGATAACCAATGATCAACTCAACATTATTCAGTAGGCCTTATGCCAGATTTTTGCTCTTAATATGGGACAGCAGTAACTCTGAGGTTTTCACCAGTTACCCTAGCTCATGCATTTTCATGCCAAGAATGTCTCACATGTCCTGTCTCCATGTCACATTGGTCAATCCTTGCCTCTTCTTATAGAAACCATGCCTTTCATTCCTGTTGTTCATTCTAAGTTACTGTGATGTTTCAGAATAGCAATTCTATAATATTTAAATTAAAAAGTTTGGTTTTTTTTTACATTCAACAATTATGAAATGTTCTACATTCACAGTCACATGAAGTCACATAAAAATGATTTTTCTTCAAAATAACTACACTGAGCTGTTGTCCTCACTGTGTGGCTTCTGGGACCCCATTTTCGGGGGGGGAAAAATAATAGACCCATTGCTGCTGCCTTAAATATGAGATGTCAGGAACCAACAGTCTGCTTACAAATAAGACAGATCTGTAAAACTGATGTGCATTCAAAACTCAAGTTCTGGATTGAGACCAAAGTCAAGGAGGGGACTAACAGCCAAAACGTTCCGCCGGAGTTTACACCCAGTGAACGCTAAGAAGAAGAAGAATAAGTAGGTAATGAGGGATTTTATTCATATTAAACAAGCCATTTTCTGAGAGTTATTTTTTCATTACATAATTCTTTCACCTTCTTTTCCTTGAGAGTTGAATTCAACACATTCTCTTCTTTTAATACACAATCCATTCAACAGCTGAATAAAAGTGAGTGATGGTAATTCTCAAACTTGTCGCAGATCCAAAATATATAACTGTGAAGTCAAAGACTGAATATAATATTCTGTTTCAATTTCCTGTGTTTAAATATGCTAACAGAAATTGCCAGAAAACATAGTTACACATATGTGACTTAGCTACTTTTAACTACCTCACATTTAGTACACAATAAAACTGAAGTCCCAACCACCTTGTTTATAACCTTTATACCCCTAATCTACTCCTGAGGCTGGCATTTAATTAACAGTGTCACCATCACAAAAATAGCCCTGGAAGACCTAGGATGCTCTAGAGTTATGATAAAGGTGATGAAATACAAAGCCAATACTAATACTCACAAGTTATTTAGGTTACATTAATGGCACTTAGCTTCATACTGAGATAAGCAAAACTAACTGACAATTATAATTATAATATAAACTATTTTCAAATATGTTGAAAGATCAAATCAGATATGCCATTAAGAATATTAACTTTGCAATGTACAGTACTCTATGCTACTAAATAAAAGTAGCATTAGCAGTTTAACATTCTAACCCAGTCATACCGTTACAGCAGAATTTCAAAAGTAACAACACTAACAACAGTAGAAGTAGTAATAGTATAGTAGTAGTAAAACTGCAAATTCAATATGCAATAACCAAAAGTAACAGGCATATTATTCAATACTGCTTTATACAGTGTATATATTATATAGAAACAATCTGCATAACCCAGTTGGGCTGAACAACATATCGTGTTTGATTTTTAAAATTACGACTAGTTAATACTACTACTACTACTACTACTACTACTACTACTAACTACTACTACTACTACTACTACTACTACTACTAACTACTACTAAGATTAGACTAATAATACAACTAATCCGACATTCGCATCGCTAGCTATACTAGAGTGTCTTAACTGTCTCTGAAGACAGCTTTATACTGTATACCAGACGACTCTGAATAAGAATACTTAATTCCATTTAAATTAAAAACTAAAGTAAAAGTAAAATTTTTGTAAAAAAAAACTGATTGCAAATCGAGTTAAGTGGAGTGACTACATCTATTTCACTTTTGCCTTAATTCTAACCAGTTCAGATAGGGATAAAAAGTACACACCAGGTGTTTGGCTCTCAAGTAAGTCGTCCCTAATCGCTTTGCAATGTGAAGTAAACCAATTCGTGCTGAAAACATTGTCCTGATTAAGAAGAATCAGTTCATGTCTTTTAGTTCCCAAAGACGTCCATGTTTTTAATGAACCCGTACGGTGTCTGCCATGTTGCACATACCGTGACATTGCCACAGAAATTGTGTATGCGTGTTTTTATGTGGGTTAGTGTGTGGGCGAAAGTTTTCGTGTGAGTGAGTGTGTGTGTCAGTGTGCATGTGCGTATATGTGTAAGTGTGTGTGTTTTCTTGAAGGTGTGGGCGAGTATAATTACGTATATATATATATATATATATATATATATATATGTGTGTGTGTGTGTGTGTGTGTGTGTGTATGTATATGTGTGAGAGTAGTGGTGGGGTGTGGGACTGTGTTTGCTCGGGGAGGGGAGGGGGGGGCGGTTTGGATGTGTTTGTGTGTGTGCGTGCGTGTGAGTATTGGTATGTGCTCAGGTGTGTGTGTGTGTGTGAATGTGGGTGTGGTGGGTAGATTTATAAATGCGTGTGAGTGAGAATATGTGTGTGTGTGGTTTATAATTAGCGCTTGCTTCTGTAACCCGCGGGGCAAAACCAATACAAGGAGACCTAAAAAGTTTGTGGTTTGAACAACGGATCAAAATCATGACACAAGGGTTCAAGTCTGAGTCTGAAGAAGCCCAGCACAGTGCACAGGTTCTGTAGCACCGGCGAGAATCTTGAACTACTTTGGGTAGATTTTTTTTTAACTTTAAATGTTGCCCGAACAGGTTAGGCTACTCTTTTCGATTTCCAATTGCCAATGGATTTTTTACGTGCGCAACAATGCACACGGGCGTCCGATCTCACTACCCAGAGACCAGGGGGAATTTCTAGAAGTCCATGACCACGTGAAAAAATCCCAGCCCTTACCAGAGATTAAAACCGGAGCATGGGTAACAGAACAAGCGGCCAAACACCCGATAATCGTTTCGGACTCTATGAACATGCTTCAGAAATCGCTACAGGTAGTCTGTGCACCGAATGGGTAGAAAGCATTCGGAAGCTGCAGTTAACCTCCAACATCTGGATCTACACACATGGGCACATAGGAGTAAATGATAATGAAGGAGTTGGCGAGTGATGCACCAACGCAAACGAGACGAAGCATGGACAGAACTGATATCACCAACGCTGTTTGGACTAGGTTGGGGATGGTGGCGAATCTCAGACGCTAACACGACTGCTTGACCGAGGAGTTTAGCTTAATAAAGCACGTCTATGCCGTCTTCAAGGTAAAGACAGAAGATATTATAACCAACTCCTCATGGGAACAACCAGTAGAGGTATCAAGGAATAGCTGCTGCATCGGAGGAATGAGCACGCATGGGGAGGCCAAATGTGCAGAGACGTCGATTATGATAACACAACATAACAACCATGTCGTAAGAGTCTACTAACTAGGGCTTTCTTCGAAGTAGGAGTGCATCTGCCTGAAATGCAAGGAACCAACAGTCTGCATACGGACGCGCAGGCAACATTGAGGTTATGGAACAAGACTAACGTCTAGAGGTGGACGAACAAGCAGAACTTTCCGCCAGAGTTTACAGCGATAAACGCAAAGAAGACAGAAGAGTTCAACTACTTCAAGCATGGCTATGGAGATGACAGCTGTCACGTGAGCAATTGGTTAGTTGGCGGAACAGAAAACAACACGCGCATTGATAGTAACAGACTCAATGAGCGTGCGTAAGAAGATCCAAACTGGCAAACTCCGGCTAGAATGTGTTCACGGTATCCAGAAGTCCCGCCTCAAGAAACTAAACGCCAGGATACACAGGGATTAAAGGAAACGAAGGAACTGACACATTGGCCATGTTTACAGTGATTGGTTTGATTTGATTGATTTGATTCAAGAACCGACATCACAGCACCCGGGGCATTCCCATAAGCGCTCCGTCTCCATCTTCAGCAGCCAGCGAAGAGTTCAGATACTAATGGTGCCAGTAGCTTTCTGATTAAATGTCCGTCTTGCCTTTCCCCTGAGCCTCGAGCATCTGCCAGAACCTCTCGTCACCCCCAACTGCATCAATCTCACCAGACTGTGGTGATCAATCTGCTCCTCCGAATTGTACACGCTCTCCCACAAGGCACTAACCACGGCTGCCCTATCATCTAGCAGTATTCCACCAAGTTGTGCAGAGCCAGCCAGTCTGTCCGCCTGTTCATTTCCCAACACACCGGCGGAACCCGGTGAAAAAATCCAGACTTCTTCTTCTTCTTCTTCTTCTTCGATCCTTCTGTCAGAAAACTTATATCAGGAGGCCGGTAGCCTTTATGAAAGCTATCGTGCAATTCATATCCTCTTGTGTACCATACAGTTTTGTCTTCATTGTGGTTGGAACAGGCCAGATTGCGTCTCTGTTGTCAGCATACAGTTGACAGTGTTGGAGCACATGCTCAGCATTTTCGGGTGCCACGCTGCAGGGACACGTCTCCGTATTTCCTACACCGAAAAATTTGAAAATATGTTGACGAAACCTGTTGTGCCCTGTCCTTAGTCTGAATATAATAGACTGTCCCTCTCTAGAGAGGCGATGAAGTGAGTCTTGGGGAGAAAATCTGGTGTGGGTATCCAGCCACCTTTCTTGGATACTATATTGTATTAGTGTTTTCATCTCTTGGTGGGTTAAGTCGCTATTTGGTTGTACCATGTCACTGCCGCTTCTGGCCAATCTGCCCGCTATTTCATTGCCTTCCAAGCCACAGTGACCTGGAATCCACTGCAGTAAAGATTGTTCTACTGAAGAGCCTAAGTAAATCAGCTGTTGCGTCAAGTCTACAAACTGAGTGTCTTTTGGGTTAACAATTGCTTGTAGAACTGACATAGCATCAGTCAGAAAGACCACTCTGCTATATTTGCTGTGCTGTTGTCCATTCAGGAAAGAACATGCCGCTAGAAGTGCTTCTGCCTCTGCTCTGTAATTGGAGGAATATGAACCTGTTGGTACAGCCTGGTTGATTTTTAAACCATCTGGGCATTCTATGTATATTCCTCCTCCTCCGTCTCTTACTGCTCTCTTGGCTGAACCATCTGTATACACTCGAATCCAACTCTGGTGTGGATAAAGTCTATTGATCTCTCCTTCTGTAGTTGATTTCATATCAGTGCTGCTCATTGATGATTTGGAGGAGACCCCTGTAACAGTGGTTCTGACTGTTGGCAGGCTATCCCTAAGCCAAGCGGGGCAGTCGTTGTAAGGTTTAAGTGGAACATTTGGTATTATGGGAGGGAGTTTAAGGACAGCGAGCTTGGCATGTGCGTTCCTAATAAAGCAAGTTCTCTTTAGTCTAGCCTTCTGGGGTTTCTGTAGTCGGCTGTACATGGGTTGTTCTTGAAAGTGGTGGTATTTGGAGAGCTGGGTGAGAATCTTTGTGTCTCTCCTATCTTCCAGATTATGGAGACCAGTAATTGTTTCCATATCTGATATGGGCGTGGAGCGCATTGCCCCTGTCATAATACGGAGAGCATGGTTTTGGATCTTTGAGACTTTCTGAAAATTTGATTTAGCTGCTGTGCCCCAAGCAGCTATTCCATAAAGCTGAAACTAGGATTACCAGATTACCAGATTACCAGATTCTAGTGTTGGCTTCACATAGCCTGTATAGGTCCTCTTAAAGACATTGAGGTTTGCCCCCCAGTCTGTTCCAGCTAACTTCTTCATCAGTTGTGTTCTCTTGCTCTGTGTCTTTTCTATCTGTTTTCTCCATGTGAGTCTTGAGTCAAAGGTTACTCCTAAATATGACGGTGAGTCATCATGTATCAGTGCCTGGCTGCCATATCTAAGTGAAACTTTCTGGGGTTTGGTAGAGAGACTGAAAATGGTGTGTGTGGTTTTGGCCCCATTTACAGGCATGTACCAGCTATTGGACCACCTCTCTAGAGTTCCGAGGGATTCTTGAAGCCTTGTCTGTGCTTTTTCAGTGTCCTCCTCTGAACTCAGTAGCGCCAGATCATCGGCATACATAACGGCTTGAACTCCATTACAGAGGGTTGATTTTATGTCGTTAATGTAAACTAGGAAAAGAATTGGGGACAGAACTCCGCCTTGTGGAACTCCATGTGTCATTGAGACTGATCTGCTCCTTGAACAATCCAGACAATACTCCTCACTCGTGTCCTCAGCAGCGAAGCATACCTGTTCTGATCTTCCTCAGCATGCTTTCTGAATCAGTTACAATTACAATATGTGTGTGTGTGTCGTGTTTTTTAGCCAGCGGAAAGCTGCAGTGACCGCCTCGACCTCCATTCTTAAGCTGGATGTTGTGGTATCATATGGTCGGCTCTCCTGGACCAAACGTCGACCATTAACTTTTGCTAAGAAGCCCCAAGCACTTCTTCTGTTTTGTGACACTGAACCGTCTGTGTAAATGATCAAATCCTCTGAGCGAGCATTATCTTGAATTAATTGCTGAATTTCCACCTTTGTGGCACCTGCTGGCCAATCTCTGCATTCCCGGCTCAGGGTGATTATGACTCTACACAAATCAGGGGGAGTTACTCACAATTGTAAAGTCTTGTATTACAAAAAGCCGAACTATTCTTGGGAGCTTAGTTGTGTAACTATGCTGAGATTTTAGTAACAGTACTTCCCACCAAGTTATTAACTTTTGTCAGCACTTAATGTCTTACTTGTGAAGTGTGCTAAGTAAGTGTAAAACACACTTCTGTACAATTAAATACAATACGATGTTTCCTCGTTTTAATTGTTAGATTTAGGTTAGAATTAGAACACTAATTACAGTGACAACACTAACTAATACTATGTACTAGTCACTACACTGAGCTTTTCTGGAAAGTTTCCTCCAGGGATTCAGTGGTGTATGTATGTTTAGGAGTGTTGTCGTCTGTGGCTTAACTTGGCGTTGCAAACGCGTTTCGCAATGCAGGGGTGTTGGGTTCGATCCCAGCTGCAGGCTCTGCGCCTTGCGTTGGTTTCGACAGTGGTATCGAAAAGCCGACCGTTGAGGGGAAAGCAATGGCAAATTACTGGACGCAAATTTGCCTA